TTTTCGCGGTGGGTATCAGTTCCCGTTACTGCACTGTGATACACCGTGGACTCACAAAGAAATCCTTAATGACAAAATATTTTATATGTCTTCCAGGTGACAGCCGGTTTGTTTTTTCTTTTCATTATCACATTCCTATACAGTGTGTTGCTACAATAGGGTGCAGAGGGTTTATCTCAATTTTTTGATGCTGGTACATTTATACGCTCCCAACATTCTACGCATCTATTAGACATATTTCACACATCATGATTTCTCTGTACATTAGCACTGAAAACATTTCAGAGGCTAGTGATCATTTTCGGAAAAATTTTTGTGGGGGCTGATACTTGGAGTTCGGGGTTCTGGGGTTAGGAGGCTGTAAATGTTACGTCTTTGGTATTAGTCAAAGACGTACAATCATTTAACAATGGGAAAATTAGATGATATAAGTTCGATGTATAATGTGCTCATAATTCGAAATAACTTCAAGCGTTGGCGTTGCGTGCACTGCGCGATGCTGCCGCCTGTGCAATGGATAACAAACTACAACTAGTCTATGGTCACTGACACCGCTACAGGACAAATTTTTATATATCTTAGCAATATGTGGATACTATGGAGTACCTACTACTTTCTGCGTACTGCGAATATGGTACCACGCAAATAAAACATATGTAGCTTATGACCTCCTAGATTAGGCATTTCAATTCGCAAAAAAACAGCGTCCCGCATTTCAAAATCACAAGCGAGTGTGAGGCTGCATCTGTTGTTTTTTAATGTATCAGATACGTCATCCTTGTACTCTGAAAACGCCAAAAGCCCGAAATCCCACCCAGAACTGTTGTCGTAACACACCGGCTAATTGTTATACGATCTTCGACCAAAGTGTTGTAAAAGAAAAGTAAAGGTATCAACATATATAGAATTAAACAATTGTCTTTCTAGTTCTGTGGACTGTGACCCAATTTGGTTGAATTTGAAGGAAAGATCTGATTGATATACTCCACCCTAACCAGTAGATCATGGTTTATCCGGATTTTTTCTCATGATTTGTTGTTGGGTCTCAAACGCGCAGGTGTTCTGCTGTGCCATCTCAAGACCAAAATGTTGTCTCTCCTTTTTTTTGTTACAAGATGAACATCATGGTTCCCTTGAGTGTCCTACCGAAAATATTATTTCAGTCGAAATTTTGGTCCAATTTAAGTTTGGACCGAAATCGAAACTTCCGACTAACGAGTATGATATGGGAGTTTGGGAGGCAAGATAGTTTTGCATCTCCAAGAAGAAACAAACTCAGTCTGTATCAGTTATTGTTAGTAATAATATATAATAGTAGTAATATTATTAACGAAAAAACTAACTCTATATAATGTGTAATAATCGGTCTGTATCAAATACTATTAAGACTTAGTTAAATAAAACTAGAACAGTAAAGGGAATGCCTACCTGTCCTACGTTATAGTGGTTTTGCGTGGTGTCATCTTAAAATTCGGAATATGACAATCTCAGCATGTTACGACACTTTCAAACATGTGTAATAACATACAGTATAGGAATTCAATAATAAAAAATAAACGAGCTATCACTTGGAAGACAGATAAATCAAATATATTGGAAGCGTTGAGTCAACGTAATGCGGTCCGGCGATTCAGCGCTTTTATGCTGACTAGTATTTGCCGCGAAATAGCTGACAGTTCGCATCATGCTATCACATTTGAAAGGCCAGTGATAACTGCTGATCACCTGGCTAGGCTGCGGACAAGAAGCACCTGCATGGGTCCCAAGCCTAGGCTGGGCATAAGCAGGTCAACATCGCCCTGAATAAATGTGTGTGTGGCGATAGAGAGAGTACTGCAGACAGGCCAAGAGTTGATTGCTCAGCAGAATATGGTCAGATACCCTGACCTTTATTAGGAGGTCAGGCAGATTCGATAGTTTAGTGAACTAATATGTAGAGTAGAGTGTTGGTACACCCATGGTTGGAAAAAAGTGTCAAATGTTGCCTCCCCACCACCATACTACTACTACTTGGAAATGTTTAGTGTTTTAGGATACTTTAGGAAACATATTGCTTCTAAAGCTGCAGAACTGCTTTCCTCTAACCCACTGATTATATATGGTAGTCTGTAGAAAAATTTTAACTTGAATTGGCTATAAACAAGAAACTGGGGAATATTTTTTTCCAAATTGCTGGTTTTATTGGAATGGTTGAACCTTGACGTTTAGGATTAAGACACAGCTTCATTCAAATGACTGCCACGGCTGGTCTGACAGTACAAGCAAAAACAATTGTTTCCAAATAACATTGTAAAATACATATCATGTATCCACTACTAGGTTGAGAAAATGTCAACATAAAAACAAAAGGAAAAAAAACTAAATTTATCCCCCATGCTTAACCCAATTTTCAACTAGTTTTTAGACTGTATGGGTTAGAGTTGCTTGAGAAGCAACTTCGATTTTGTGTTTCAAGTGCTCAATAGTATTTGGATTATTAGCATAACATCTATCCTTGCTGCTCTGCAGAATGGTCGGACATCCTGATATTTATTAGGTCAGGAAGGTTTGATAGTTTGGTGAACTAACAAATGGTGTAGAGTGTTGGTTCATTCCAGGTCGGCAAAAAGGGCCAAAGGTGGCCTACTTGCGTGGCTTCGCGTCCCCTTCACTACTACTACTTGAAAAGGTTTAATGTTTTAAGATATGTTGGAAAACATCTCGCTTTGAAAGCTGATTATTTAGGCTGGTACGTTAAAAATTGTAGTTGCAATCGGCTGTAAATAAGAAACAGGAATATTTTTCCAAATTGCTGGTTTTATTGGAAAGGTTGAACCTTGACATTTAGCTATAAAACACAATTTAATTCAAATGACTGCCACAGCTGGTCGGACAGTACAAACAAGTTTTATTTCCAAATAACATTTTAAAATTCATAACATGTATCCATAATGTTAGGCGAGATAATTGAAAACAAAAAGAAAAAATTAGATTCATCCCCCACCTGCCTAACCCAATTTTCATGCACTTTTTAGACTGTTTTAGCTAGAATTTCTTAAAAAGCAACAATCCTGTGTTACAATAGTATTTATTTTTAACGGCTTTCCATCGTAAATAGATCAGTAGGATCAAATCGCAGCTTCCACAAAGTCCATTGATATCAAAATTTCGGCTAGTTAGGGACCGACTTTCGAAAAGGAGGATCGATTGATGCATTGGCTGTGCAGCAAGCTGTTACGTCCTGTGAAAGCCAAATCTGGTCTATGTTATTCTCTTCAACTTTTCCGTTCAGGGTTACATGATAACGATCACCATTGACTGAAACGGCGGTTTCTTCCTCTTTTTTAAGAAAAATTGACCAGTGACGTCACCGATACAAAAACCGCACCAAACAGTCGCTCGAGGATGTATTAGAAGAAAGAATAAGAAAAGCTCATTAGCATCGGATAAGCAAATTTCAGCCCATTGGGTGAACAGAAAACGAATCGGATAGTCCCATTAAATGTTAAAAATGATTTTTCGACACGTCATATACAGTAGCGGTCAAAAGCTTGGAAACATTTTCATTAATTCTTAAAAAGTGCGCTAATTTTTTATTCTTTATTATTAATGAGTATTTTTTCTCATATAGTTTGCTTACAGTCTTGAGGATACAAATGACAATTTATGTTTGCTGTGGTACTACAGACTAGCATTAAAATACCTTCATATTATTTTATGACCAAAAATGAGACGAAAAAGTATGGAAACATATTTTTTTACAAAATTAGATACAATAACTATACAAAAAGATTAAAAAAATACTGTATAGCTAATATTTGGTGGCATAGCCTTTAGCATTCAACACTGTCTGACATCTGCTACTCATAGAAGACACCACTTTTTTAGAGACGACTGTTGGGATATTTTGCCAAATATTTTTTACATAATCAAATAAATCGTTCCTATTTCTTTAAGTTTTTCTTGTCAGTTGTCTTTTAACATGCTCCCAGAGATGTTCTATAGGGTTTAGGTCCAGGGATTGTGAATGCCATGTAAGAACATTATAATTTTTTTGTCTTAACTAGTCCTTTACGAATTTTGAGGTATGCTGGAATGTTCATCGTAAAGGCATTTCTTCTTTAGCAAAAGGGAGCATATGTTCACTAAGGATATCTTTGTAAAGTTTTTGACGAATCTTTTTCGTATTGGACGTCTCGCATATGCCGTACCGTCAGATCCAAACAAGTTAAACGTGCTTTCATGGCTTCATAAAACTGTATTCCATTGTTGTTGTGTCCAAGTTAGATGAGTTTTAGCAAATTTAAGCCGAGCAATACGATTTTTTTTATGAGATGCTTTTGCACTGGACGCTTACCAAAAAGCCCAAAATCCACCAAGCGTCTGCGCAGTGTTTTGACATACAGATTCTCGGCACCCTCTTCTACTATTCTTTTGAAAATTTGTCTGGCTGGTATTCGAGGGTCTTTATGGAAGAAACGTTTAATGTAGCGATCCAAAACTTAATCGGTTTTTTCCGTATTTACTAATAATTTTTTAAATCGTCCCGTTGTTCATTTTTAATCTTGGAGAAATGTCAACATTTCTGACACCACTTCTAATTAATTCAATTACTTCGTATCTCAAATCTTTTGAAAATTCTTTTACTTCTGCTATTCTCACTGATGTTAATATTTACCGCACGCAATTTCAGAGTATCCCAGAACGAATAAATACGGCAAAACTGAAATGTTTCCATACTGTTGTTACAAAAACTGTGGTATTTAAAAAAACGCGTGTTTTTATATTCAGAGAATTTGAATATTGATAAGATGAACCTTGTATTAGTACGGGAGCCAAAGGTGGACTCTAATATTTATATCATCTGTTCCTTCACAATTTTAATTTAGGTATATGAAATAGTTCATAATAATGTTGATATGTGTTTCCAAACTTTTGTCCGGTACTCTATGAGATTTTAGCTTTCGATAACAACATAACCGCTACTTCAAGCAAGCCCTGTGGTGATTGAAATCTTTCAGACCCGGCAGACGCCGATGTACCAGCAACCAGCCACCCTCTACCCCTACCCATCACAATACGCAGCTGCCGCCGCCGCTGCTGCTGCAGCTCAGCAACAGCAACCCCTGTTGGCCAATCAGTACCCCGTTCACCCCGATGTTAAGTTCCGTCGACTACCCTTCTATGACATTCTGGCCGATCTGTTGAAACCGTCATCGCTGGTACCGCAGACGAACCAGCGCATGCAGGAGGGTACTTTCTACTTTCATCTAACGCCGCAGCAAGCTACGGATATAGCCAGTTCCAGGGATATCAGGCCGGGGGTCAAGAATGACTATATCAAACAGGTCAGTAAAAGTTCCGACAATTCTTTTATAGGTGTTTGGCTTGTTGCATTCCGGGTGTTCGACCCTCACCATTGGGATGTCGGAAACGGTAAGAGATACGAAGTCGCTTAAATGGGGGCAAAGTTGCTTATTTAGATAACTAACAAAGTGCCGCTTAGAAAATTTCAAAATTAAAAGTACTTCCGGAGAGAGACGAAAAAAAATCAATTTTCTCAAAATCCCTTTAGTTTTTTCTTGACTTTATTTGTAGGGAGCATTAAAAATAAATTGCACATTAACATTGCCACTTTGTCTCCTCTACAAGATGGCATAATCAAAATTTCAATATGCCATTTCGTCCATTGTCCTTCAGCATCAACTTCATTTTTCCTCATCGACGCCAGATTTTTGCACAGATGAATAGAGTTTTGCATTCTTATTATAAAAATTGACATTGACAAACCTTAGTTATTCCAAAAAAGCAGAATTTACTAGGTAGGCTCGAAATTAACAGATAGTCATTTGTTTCATGTACCAGATTTATCACAAAATCATTTTTTTCCTGACTTTGAGATGCTATTTCGACATAAATTGCATGTTGTCATTGCCACCTTTTCTCCTCTACAAGATGTCGTGTTGCAATTTTCGAGGTTTCTTTCGACTTCCATCACCAACTATTTCGTTTTTCATGTGGACTGTGTATAGGAATTTTGTTCATTTAAATACTACTAATAATAATATTACTTAAGTATGTCAAGGTTCATAACTAAATGCAGAATCAAAAATTGTGTTCGATTGTGCAAAATTTCAATAGGGTTTCCTTAAAAAAACAAAGCTGAGAATGGAGATGGAAAGCAGAAACGTTTAATTGATTGAGAATTTAACTTCACCCTCTAATAGAGTAGAAGGAGTGGCGATGCTAACATGCAATTCATTTTGATTTTTCCATGAATCTGGTATTCAAAACAAAATTCTATTTTTTTTTTAATAACCAAGGTTTGCCAATATATATGTATGAAATGTTATATTTTTGAAATCAGAATTAGAGACTCTATTCATGTATGCAAAAAAACAATATGGCGTCCATTAGACAAAAAAAGAATTTGATGCTGGAGGACAAGAGACGAAACGTCATAGTAAAATTATAATTATACGTTTGTTCGTACATTGGTCGATGACTTGTCGGTGATTGAGTCGCATGAATTCCGTCTATATAGCATTCCAGAATGAACGGAATTCGTGTGACGGAATCTTGGTCACGGTCACTGACAGATTGGCGACTGCTGTATGAATAGGGCTTATACCATCTTGTAATGGAGAAATTTGCAATCTTAACGTGCAATTTATTTTGAAATCCCACTACAATTAAATTAAAACAATTTTTGGGATATTCGGGATTTTCCGTCTCTCACCGGATGTACTTTGATTTTAAAAATTTTCCATGTGGCATCAGTTTAGTTACGCAAGTTTGGTGAGGAACGAATTTCAAACACCCAGTATATTGTTTTCATTAGCTTCACTATCCATACATATCAGCATATCAGTTGATAAACATTGTCAACCTGTCGATCCACGCTACTGTGAAAGAATGAATCGAGTAGAATAGCTCAGTACACGAAAAATGTAAACAAACTAAATGTTGGTCTTTTCCTAAAGTGTTTGGCGGTTGGTGTCCATCTAAAATAACCATAAACTCGAAACGCTTTTTTGTTATAGACATTTCATCAGAACCTCGGCAGTAGCTTCGAAATTATAGCGGAGTCAAGGATCGCAGACAGACTGATGGAAATAAGTGACATGGTTTTTAGTGATGTCATCATATAATATCCAAATCTCGATTTCGATTTTTTCACAATTATAGTAGTTTCTCGTCAATTGGTGTGAGGTAGTGTGTCCAACCTGCGAACCTTGTACATATTGGCAAACCTACCTAATAGTTAAACGCTTGTTATACATGCTTAAATCTACACCATAATAAAAGGATACTGAACACAGTTTCCCATGCAGAGTCTTGTCACTTGCTGATTCCCTGATATAGCTACATTTTAGTTTATTCTAAAATGTATTTCTTTTTAATAATTCGAATGCTTTTTTGCATTCTACTTCATATAAAACTGAGTGTGGTTTCATGAATAGTATAGTACTATTACAATAGTTAGAAAAGCAACATTCTCACACTGAAATAAAGGTTTTTTCCAGGTCCAAATGAGATTTTGTTTATTGGAAACAACGTGTGAACAAGAAGACTACTTTCCTCCAAATGTGATTGTTAAAGTCAATAATAAATTATGTCCTCTACCAGTAAGTATATGGAAGATATTTTTTGCTTACTTATCTGCAAGAGGAAAATCAGATCAAGGCTACTTTCTTGTAAATTTAAATGACATCAAATATGTTCCCGAATTTGTCAGATTGACGTGCTTCTTGATATAAAAATAATAATATATTAAGTCCATTTGCGGTTAGTACTATATTCCGAACCGAAACACCAATTTCTGCTGTAGCTTTACCCTGTAGTTGTGTTGCGTCAAAAGAAACATCATTACTCCATTGCCGAATTTTCGTGCTTCTTATCGCTTGTCACTGTGTTCCCAAGCATTTATCACGCGCTGGCCAATAGGAACGCCCTACTGCAAAGATTATGCGATGGTGTTTCATTTAATGCAGAGTAAATGAGATATAACACCTTATATTTCTGTATTTTTGACCTTGCTAATGCAACATCGGAAACTTGTGGTGATACTCCCCCATGTTTGTCTGGGCCGAATTACACCAAATATATGTTTAGAATTCCTCTTCATTGTACGATGTTTCGGTCCCAACGGTGACCTTTTCCCGTTCCCTAAAGGACCTCCACCCGTCCAAAGCGACAAGCGAGCGTGAGGTTCTGTCATTTTTTTAATGGACCAGACACGTCACCCTCGTCCATGTCGCTTTTTGGGCTAGACTTTCTTTTGGAAGTAGGAATGCCTATCCCAAGTCATCCGGAGCTTTTCTGGTTATGCGCGGTGCCGTCCTAAAATTGCAATGATGGTTTCGCGCAATGTAACTAGACCGTTTAGAGTATTGTAGTTGTATATGAATGTGTAAATGGAAGATAAAACAATCAAAGTGTCACCTGGAGGACAGATAAACAAAATATATTGTGAAAAGTGTCAATTGTACTTGAAAAGGGTCACCGTTTGGACTGAAACAAACAATATAGAGGCATTTGGTTTGATTTGGCCAAACAAACATGGGGATTGTGACAATTCTCTTTATGATCGTTAAATATGAATATTTAGAAATAATTTTCGTATATTTAGAACCCGATCCCGACAAACAAACCCGGCGTTGAACCAAAGAGGCCTCCACGTCCAGTGAACATAACCCAAATGGTGAAACTGAGCCCCACTGTGGCAAACACCATTTCAGTCTCGTGGGCGACGGATTACACTCGAGGTTATGCCATCTCTGTGTCGCTGGTGCACAAACTGACCTCTTCTGATCTATTGCAAAGGCTCAAGAATAAAGGGATGAAGCATGCTGATCATACTAGAGCTTTAAGTGAGTACAAGTAGTACAGGCAAGGTAATAGGTTCAAAAAAAGGTGTATCCTCTAAGTAGAGAAAATTGTATTTTTAGTACCTGAAAAAGATTATTTATATCCATTTTTCAAAGTTGATATTATGTTTTCGCTTATGTGTTGGAGAAAAAGTATTTGAAACAAATGCTTAAATATACATTTTTTCAAGTCAAACTGTCTGCAGGATAAAGGCTATTATATGCCATCTGATGGAAGTCTTAATTCCAACGCAAATAGTAGTAGTACTCGTAGTAGTAGAAAGATTTATTTAGCACATTTGGCTACATGAACAGAATAATTGTAAACAACTTAGAATTAGTAAATTCAAGCCGTATGATGTAAATGCTGGGCAACCTATAATTTTAGATTTAACAAGTGTTTTCTCAATTTTACTTTAAATTTTGTCAAAGTTTTCTGGTATTTTATCTCTGTGTATAATTTATTATATTCAATCAACCCTTGATGGAATACAGATTTGTAGCATTTGTTATAATTTTTGGTCATTAAATGGAAGTCATCTTTATTTCTGGTATTATGTAAATGATGGTCGACATTTGATGATGTTAAATTAGTTAGACTTGATGGAAATATATTATTTTTTACTTTATAAATGAATATCATTACAAGATATTTGATAAAAATGTTTACATTGAACCATTTTAATTTGCTAATCATTTGCCTAATTGGAGTATATTTATCTTTATTCAGTATTATTATCATGCGCTTATTTTGTAAAATTTGCAGTCTTTCAAAAATGGAATTATTTGCTAAATATAGAATAGTCGAACAGTACAAGAAATTTGGAAGAATGATGGTATTATAGATAATTTTTCAGCTATATGATCTCAGACATCCAGAAACTCTCGGTAAATATCCCACTTTACTACTAATCTTATTTATAAATTTTTCATAATGAATATCAAAAATTAATCGAGAGTCAACAAAAACCCCCAGGTATTTAAAATTTTCTACGAATTCAATATCTTCACCATCAATATTCAGTTGAACATTTGTACATTGTTTTTTTTTTCGAATAACATAGCTTTCGTTTTACTTGTATTTAATTTTAGTCTGTTAGATGCTAACCATTTTGAGACAAATTTCCAGTCTTCATTTATATAAGAGATACCAGTCTGAATATTTTTAGTACTTATATAAATCATAGTGTCATCGGCGAAAATCTGAATTTTACATTTTTTGACTATGGCAGGTGTATTTTTTTGACTATGTATAAAATAAAAAGAAGTGGTCCCATTATACTGCCCTGTGGAACACTCAACGTATTTTCAATTTTTGATGAAATAGTATCATTAACTTTTGTAAAACACTTCCTGATATACCATATGCCTTCAATTTACCTAACAAAACATCTCTATCAATCGTTTCAAATGCCCTCTTCAAATCCAAAAATACTGCTATGACAACTTCTTCTGAGTCTATGGCTCTTCTCCAATTCTCAGTTACCAACTGGAAAGCCGTTTCTGTGGAATATTTTTTTCGAAAGCCTGCTTGCACCTCCACTAAAATTTTGGTTTCTTCTATAAACTGCATTAATTAGTCATGCACTATGGACTCTAATATTTTTTCAATGTCTGATAACACATTTACTGGTCTCATATCGTTGCATCTTTTTGGATTTTTTATTTTGGGAACTGGTGTTATTGTAGATCATTTCAAATTTTCAGGAAAAGAACTGCTTCTCAGTGAACAATTGATCCAATTTAATACAGGGTATCCCAAAATTTCGAAACCGTTTTTCAGCACGTTCTAAGAACAATGTGTTTGAATTTTGGGGGGCAAATGTTAACACTTTCTGTTCATGGTATAAAATGGCAAAAATCCTTATAATGGACAGTTCATTATCATTCAACAGTCATGTAAATAAGCTATTTCAGTAGTCTTCAAATTAAAACCACTATCAGCATATTGTGAGCTATTATCTACTAGCACCTAGCTCACTTTGACTCAAACACTTGTTTTATCACATACAATATATACTAAGTGACATATAAATCCGAACACCCAGTTTAAATGGTTTTATTTTAATAAAATTTTGTATAAGTACTTAATGAAGCATAATAAGTAAATGATAAAAATTTCAAAATGATTGCACTGCTTTGAAGCCCTTTGACCTTTAATAATGTGTGGATGCACCCTGATGAGCTACGCATTCTCCAACGCGCCTAGGGATGCTTCTGATCAGGTGGTCAATGTCCTCCTGTGGTATCTCATTCCAGGCAACCACCAACTCCTCTCGAAGTGCTTCTAGAGTTTGCGGAGTACGTTGCAAATTGAGCAATCTCCTACCCATCATATCCCACACGTGCTCAATTGGGGATAAGTCGGGAGATCTTGGTGGCCATGGTAACAATGTGACATTATTATGTTGAAAGAAGTCTATTGTGAGTCTTGCAACATGTGGTCGGGCATTATCTTGTTGGAAAGTTGGATCTGCCAGGGTGTCAAGATAGGGTAAAAGGTGGGGTTCTAGAACTTCGTGGATATAACGCTGTGCGTTCATGTTACCTCTGATGAAGATTAAAGGTGACCTGGAACCATAAGCTATAGCACCCCAAACCATAACTCCAACAGTGTGATGAACATGTCTTTCAACAAAAAACCGTGGATTCCTCCTTTCACCACGTCGCCTTCTAATCCTGGCACGACCATCGTGCATGCCTAAACAAAATCGCGACTCGTCACTAAAGACAATACTGTTCCATTCCTGATCCCAGAGTGACCGTTGTCTGCACCACTCAAGGCGATTACGTCGGTGTTCTCGAGTTAAAGGGAGGACCCAGTGTGGCCGGTATGAAAACAAGCCAAAACTTCTCATTCGTCGGTAAACACTTCGCATGCCAATAGGTCTTCCGTGTTCTGCAAACCATTCATTTGCAATGGACCTGGTAGTGGAGAAACGGTCCCTTAAGGCCAATAATCTTAGGCGGCGATCTTCACGGTCTGTTGTTCTACGGCGGCATCCAGTGCCCCTTGCTCTTTGCGTACGGCATTCTCGAAGCCATGCCTGACAACACCTACCACAGTGTCTACACTTCTTTGCACTCTAACTGCAATTGCCCGAAAAGAAAGTCCAGCTTCCCGAAGTCCCACTATACGGCCCCTATCAAACTCACTAAGTTGACGAAATCGTACAGGTCTCCGTACTCGTAACCGATCGTAAAGGATGTCAAGAAATATTCATTTTTAGAGCGTTAGTGAATTAAAAAAAAGCAGTATAAAAACCGGAATGTCCAACTGATAAGGCTGAAAATTTTTTCACTTGTTATTTACAGTAAGATAAATACATTCACCAACTTTTATTAAAATAAAACCATTTAAACTGGGTGTTCGGATTTATATGTCACTTAGTATACATGAGTTACATATACTAACCGTATTTAATACAGTATATCAAACATCCTTTTCAAAAAATACAAAATGCCTTCAATACTCAATTAAACTTAATAAAAGAGACTATGCCACTCCATTCCATAATTGGTTATCCACAGAACAATCATGCTTTTTTCACCTTAGTTGCCTTATACTTAAGGTAATCAAGTGTGATATCCCGTTATACCTGAATGAACTTATCATTCGAAGAGAGGATATTCATATTATTGACAATATAACAAAGGACTGATGATTGAAGATTAGCATGTACTACTCTTACATTTGACCAATAAATATAAGAAAAAGTGCTGTCTATACCAAGGCACAAGACAAACTTTTTTAAAAACTCCTTGATATATCAGGCATCATATACGATTCAGAACCTGTTTCAAGTTTTAGGAAAAACGTAAAATTCTTTATTACAGAAATGTCAGTCACCTCCATGTGTAATAGATTTATCTATTTCGGTCTTTCGCGCCCTTAGTAACACAACTTGATTTCAGGATGATTAACTTTATTCTGTCTAAAAATGTATATATTGATAGGTACTGCAAGGTACCTCGGTCATTCCTCTGTCTAGCGTAGCATTTCAGGTGAATTATATTACTTGCAATACCTGACAAGTATCTAATAACAATATATTATACAGTATGATCTTACCATATTACACCTCCTCCGATATTCAAAAGAATTTTCTTTCTAATGAAATGAAAATATTCTTCTACCTCGCTGAGAATGTTTTATGGCACGACGAGTAAAATAATATAAAATATGTATATACAAATTTATAACCATTGTATGCATATAAAATTTATTTCTCAATTGCTAATAAACTGTACGGTGGAAATGAAAAATAAGTTTGAGAAGGAGAGATAGAAAAAGAATAGTTTAGAATATATGATAGGAAAGCAGAACCCTTTTAATACTTAACTACCTACCAATACCTAGTTCCTAACATCTTGATTACACTGTACATGAATAATAATGTTTCATCCTATTTTTATGAGGTGTAGTATGGTAAAATCATACTGTATAATATATTTTTATTAGAAACTTGTTAGGTATTGGAAGTTATATCATTCACTGGAAATACTGTGGTAGGCAGAGGAATGCCCGAGGTACCTTGCAGTACAATATATACATTTTAAATCATTACTGTCAATTCAGATACTAATTTTAAGTCACTCAACTTCACTTTTGATTGCCCACCATGGTACATTCTCTATTTTGTACTTCATAGTTTTGTTTGCTGAAAAACCTGAAAAGAAAATGACACCTCGAAATCTTCCGCCATACTCTTTGATCTAGCCAACTCGTGCTCTGTTACTTCTCGCCTGATTGTCTGCCTTAAATATTTCTTGCAGCTTTTTATGGGAATATAAAGCACTGCTAATTGCCAATACTACCAGCACAATTTGCAAAATATCTGTTTCCGAGAAAATTTCATCTCTCTTGGATTGAGTTCTTCCCATTGTATTAAAACTAACCAATCTCTTCTAAAAGATCCTGGCAGGATCGCCATGTAATAGATTTATCTATTCCGGGCTTTTGCGCTCTTAGTATCACAACTTGATTTCAGAATGATCTATAAATGTATATATTGATAGGTACTGCAAGGTACCTCGGTCATTCCTCTGCCTAGCGCAGCATTTTCGGTGAATTATATTACATGCAATACCTAACAAGTTTCTAATAACAATATATTATACAGTATGATCTAACCATACTATAGATAGCTGTGATACTAGTTTTAGTTTCAGGTACATATGAAAAAACATTTTATTCATTCTGTATTTTTATCGCCTGAAGCTTTATTATTATTATATATTATGTATGAAAAAGTGGAAATACTTTCTGGGGGCAAAATATTGATATTCAAAATAAAAATTTAGGAAATTGTCTCGTTATTATGTTCTTAATACAAATCGCTGAAAAAAGAACGCCTTAAAAATTGGATAGCAATGGAAAACACTTTCCAAACAGCTGCCTTTGTAGCATAAGGATAAAAAAATAATGGTTCAACAGTCGTCATTAGGGCCTTTATAAAAGTTGTGTATTGGTATAAAATTACGTTAATCTTAAATATCTATCAGTTATAGTAACTTAAGACGACTTTTCCGTGGTTTTTTAGTTATTTTTGTTTGATGATTGAGAATTCACTTTGCCATTTTAAAAAACTCGTTAAAAAATGGACGCCATTATGTATTTTCCCAAACTAAACAAATATGTATTGTTTTTGTTCTGATAGTACCAATTCCCAAGAAGTCACATACACTAAGGGTAGCGAACACCAACAAAAAAATTAAAATCAAAAGTTAATGAATATAGTTTATTCACCGAAACAAAGCAGTTACGTCATATTTAGTAACATTGATTGCCAACCTTGATGCAAAATAGATCCTAAATTGGTTTGTATGGTTTGAATTTCCCGGGTACATTTATGTTGGTAACAGTTTTGTGTTGTAATTAATGATAATCAGGTAATTACACCAACGGCTTTTGTTTATTTGTGGATTATTTTCGTTCTTTTTGCATCAATATTTGCATTGTTATTATATAAAAGCAAAAGAATTGGACATTTTTTTGACGAAATATTTTGAAACTGAACGAGGTTATGGAGCTCCATTATTGCCTTTACAGTCCGTAAGAGAGGTATTAGGTAGTAAATAGAATTTATACTAGCTCTAGTGTTTACAAAACATACGCTCCATAATGTTGTATGCGGTAAGGCATCGAAGACATAAAGCAGATTTTGTAAAACATTCTAGGATCTAGTAGTTTTAATTAATGTGGCAACCATGTGCGCCACTGTCAGTATTTGACATTGTGACGTAACTGCTTTGATTCATTGAATAAACTATAGATACATATGAATTCGAATTCATGAATTCTGTATATACGAATAATAAGATAATATTCTAATCTGGAGACAATTCAGTTCACATTCGAATAAGGAATCAGTTTCCCCATGTATTTCATATATTTTCAACATCAAACTCATACTCATTTATAGTTTCACGGTTTTTGCAGGATTGCACTAAAACGTGACGTCCTCATTGACATGGCGTACCATTTTGAGTTTACCTTTCATTGGTCTTCATAATATAAAACCTGTACATACCTGTAAATACAACTAACGGACAATATTGATAGTTTTTGCTGCCAAAATTATTGGAGTGTATTGAGAAAGGAATGGAGCAATTATCCTTTATTAATCAATTCATGTATGCAAGAGCAGCTGTTAAGATCGGTTTACCCAGTGAAAATTTTCTATGCTCATGGTTCAGTTAGTTGATTTGCTTATTTCATGTGGTATTGATGTGATTGTCAAAAACCGTGAAAAGAACTATCATCTTGCTTGGTGCTCGCCACCCTAAGAGAAAATTATCTTTTTCATTGTGACCGATTTTGTTTTAAAGATTTTCCACCCCTTTTCTGACAGTGGGAGATATTATTGCAAATGATATTTCGATATGATTGCAAGAGAAAAGGAGACTTACCAAGTCATAATCGTCCTGGTTTATTAACTCTGTTCTTGTACTTGGTGCACTTTTTTGTATATGTACATTTTTTCAATTATCTAGTCAAGGAGAAGTTGAGCGACGACGGAGACTGCGAGATCGCCACAACGTCCCTCCGTGTCAGCCTGACCTGTCCACTAGGAAAAATGCGTATGACCACTCCATGTCGGTCTGCCACTTGTTCTCATTTGCAATGCTTCGACGCATCCCTCTACTTACAGATGAACGAACGGAAGCCCACCTGGAACTGTCCTGTTTGCGACAAGCCTTCATTATACGACAATCTGGTTATTGACGGGTATGTAATATGGTTTTAAATGAGGATGGCTTTAGGTGATTCTGACATTTACATCTTAGGCGGGAGAGACTGATAGAGTGATTCTGATATCGAAATAAAACAGCGCAAAGCGCCATCTTATTTCGATTCATCTCAAGCCTTGGTTGCTATGCTTTTGTTTGCTGACCAAGCCTAGATCATGCTAATGAGTTGTCAAAAAGCACGAAATAGCTGCCTATAGTTGGCTGTCTGTCGTCGGACGGACGAATCGAGCATGTCCAGTAGTAGATTGATAGTTGCAAATAAAGAAAAATCGATCAATAGAGTTTATCATCTGACAAATAATTTGCAGAATTGCCTTCCATTAATACATTCGGGTCACTCTCGGAATAAATTGTATTAGCAAGAACGATTAACGAGTCTACGAATCACTTCATTGTACCATTTTTCTAGTGACCTGAAAATTTGATCAAATGTGGATGTCAATAAATAATGCCTTGCCTTTAGTATTAAAACTAACGGATCCATAGTTTATTCTAGGTATGTACAGACTACTACTATTTTCAAAAGGCGTATTTGAAAGGTCCCGTTATTCTCAAAATGGATTTACTTTTCCGAAAAATTAACGCACCGCGAAAAAAAAAACAGTTATGTAGCCGAAGCTAGACATGTTTTTGAGATAGGAGAATCGTAGTGCATTAACGATATTTTCAGAAATTTTGTTTTTTTAGTATTTGAGTGTCCTGCAACAGCTAGCTGTACTTTTTCACTGTGGTGATATTAAGATTGAAATCATGTTTTGATTTATCTTTCAATCCTTTCTATTAAAAAAAAGCAATTTGTAATACATTCACAAGGTCTCGACATCATAAACATACATTTTTACTGAAGGTAGGAAATTTCGAAAAATTACATAATAGAATCAATGAACGCTGAATTTACGTCTTAATAGTAATTAATATGTGTTGCCTTTAGAGGAGGCTACAACAAAAACTCAATAAACTGATGGATGTCATAGTGGAAGAAAATCAGATTTCGGAAAGACTAAACCTAAATTATCCTTACATATTATTAAAGGTTTTCTTTGCAAATACTACCGATAGTCGTTCACCTTACTTCTCGACATTTGCTGTATTTTGTTTAATTTCCTTTTGGTTTTCGAATATTCAAATGAAAGAAGAGCAAACAAAAAATCCTGAAAGGCAATACCACAGTGTGGTCAGGGTGTCTAGCTTTAAATTAACCCCCCCCCCCCCCCCATAAGTTTTTATATGACTTCAAGGAAAAAAAGTTGTGTAAGAGTTATACGGTCTAATAAGCTTTTTATGTAATATTTTTTTGTATTCAGGGTTTCTCATAAAAGTGCTATTTTATTAAATGGCACACCTAGTAGACAGGGTGACTTTGAAGTTGAGTCATTAATTTTCAGATAATGATTGTAGAAGGAAGATAAACCAAAATATGTGTGTAAAAATAAAAAAAAAATAAAAAAAATATTTACCTTGTTTTATAAAGTATCCTCCCGACTAGTATTTCAGTGCGGACCTGTATTTGATCGTGAGGTCTTGGAGCACCGGCATGCCCTCCCCTGCGAGGTCTTAAGTCACCTGATTCACGAGCCCGTTGTACTACATTAACAAAGGCACGAGGGGTTGGTTGCACTCGATTGGGAAACCGATCCGCATAAACATGTGCCATTCTTTATTTAGTTTGAGCCACGCAGCAAACACCACTATTCACTCTCGCGTTACCGACTGACACATTGTCTGAATAAAAACATTGTGATCAGCGTTTTAACCGTTGTTGCCAAACACGAGCACATAATATTATTATTGAGACCGGGCGGTACTCAAACTTCTAAAGGGCTATAACTTTGTTACTTTAATTTTACCACAAAAATGTTAAAGGAAAAAACATTTCTTTTGATCAGATCTACTCACTGTTAAAATAAATGACTCAACTTCGAAGTCACCCTGTATATTCTGGAAAAATAATAGTGCCTATTTCTCTATTATCTGAGTTCGAACCAGTTTGCATCTAGCCGCCTAAGCAATCTGGCAAAGGGCCAGAATACATATGATTAAATGACACATAAACCTCAAGTTTTTGACTAAAGTAATAAAAATAAGTTTAACAAACCATATCGGCTGGAATCAGAAAAAGGATACTATCATTTAACAATACAATTATTCAATAGCACTTTTCTCGGATATACCAAAAAATATTAAAACAAAAACTTCATATGAAATCCAGTCACTTTTATATACAACTTTTTCTTCATATCATATAACAAAGTTAAAGGGGGTCAATTTATAACCACCATGGAGCGTATTTTTTATGAAAAAAGTCTTGAGCAACACTTGCTGTGATCTTGGATACGGGTTATCTTTATTTTTTTTGTGTTGAGATTATATGGAGGTTTGATAATCGCAAATGAACATATACTTTACACATGGCATCTACAATGGAGAAGTTTCGTGATGTTCAATATCGCATAAGTAATGACATACTAGCAAAATATAGATGAAATATGATCAACCAATAAAAAATTATTGAAATCGGTCAATAAATGTCGGAGAAAGTATTACTTAAATTTGGCGCATTATAGCGCGAAATCATTGCTGCCGTAAGTTCGCGTCTGACGCCACACTTCACTAATGCCAAGCGTGTCGACAGCGTCTGTGCGTTTTGTAATTATAATAGTCTTTAGACAATTCATAAGACAGACCTGTGCGCTCGGCCACGTGATTTCTAGTTGCTCAAAATTGACATTTTACAGTTTTGGAATTTATTTCTTCAAATCCATCATATACAAGCGCGGAAATAAAAGGTGCGAAACTTTGGAAGTAAGGATTTATGCCTACTGCTACACTATCACAACTAGCTGTAGAAACTGTGATACCCTACTGAGGTTTTAAGCAAACTAGTGTTGTCCAAAGTGCAAGGGCGGACTTAGGATTTCGTCTGGGGGAGTGGGACGCAAACAATATTTGAGGCTGGTATTTTTTCAACCTCAGTGGAACTTCTAGAATTTATCCTTTTATTGCTCCTTAAATCTTTATCCATCTGGTCAATGCCAGCTTGAAAAAAAAAACATGGAAAATGCTCAGAAAGGCAATATTTTATTATATGAGAACAAAATAAGTACGTGACATTTATAATTAACTAGTGTAATAATATTAAATATTAAAACATAAAAAACTGCATGCTCTGTTAACTGAAAAAATTACATTTTGAGGGACCCCGAGAGATATCCCAGTACATTCCACACAAAACAATGTCTTTGATGGTGAAAACGAACAGGAGACCGAAAAATTCACATTATCGTATGGACGCTAGACAAGACAAAGAAGGATGTCTATAGACGATCTACAGATCGTGTCTTGAGACCATCTAAAGACTGCCTATAGACAAGATGTGCAACGGGGTCTACTAGTGTGTACTAAGCTTAATGATTAAGACTCTGAACTGCCAATTAAACAAATCAAATAATTGGTGCAAATACTGCCACAATCAAGCATTTCTATTATATGAGCAAGTGATAAAAATATAAACAGGTATAGTCAATTATGTTTTGAAATTCAATATAGATGTTACAGTTATTCTTCAGACTTTCGTTGTCGAACTTAGATTTACGGCATAGTTGTTGTTTTCTCAATTGTCGAATCGGTGTTGATCGCATGTAAAAATCTTAGAAATCTTTGAACATCAATGGAAGCATTTTTTTGACAGGCCACAGGCGCACCGCTAAACAAATCTCATAAATGTCTATTTCCAATTTAAGCATTCATCTAACATAGTGCTTTGCTGCAACACCAACCCCGAACAAAATCAGTCAACCTTTACACACTTTCCAAACTACTATTGAGCAACAAACAGAACATAAGACACTTTTTAAGTGCAATCTGTATAGCTAATATATAACTCAGACTTAAGATTTGTCACAATTCTCGTATATACGTATAAATCGTAAGAATTGTGCTGTAAACGTATGTAAGTGATGTTAAAGAGGGACAGCGTTTGGAATACCAAAGGTTACCAAAAAATCGCAATGCTCAGTTCCTATAGCTCTAACTTATAGTTGGTGTGCCTCTGTCGCCATGATGTGTCAGAAAGTAACACAGTGGTGTTAGATTACAAACGCAAATATCAGACGTCTAGGGGAGAGCGCCCCCCCCCTCCTAAATCCGATACTGTTTATATGAGTATAGATTTGCAAATATGACACGATATTTTCCAGGGCACGTAGAGATTTGTATCGAGAAGATGCTATCGGTTATGTTCAGTTGAAACGTGAAGGTACTAAATGGATTGTAAAATGCAGAGTTACACCTGATCATAAAGTGAAAGCTACGCCTTACCACTGCACATTGGTCTGTGACGAAAGTGAGGAAAAAATTGAAACTGGTTTGTATCATAATTGTGCTGTCAGGCTTGGTGGATGTAAACACAGAATAACGTTTTTGATCTAGCTTTTGAAAAGAAGCGGGGAACCTGCAAGAACTTCAGTAAAATGTTACGAGATGAAACCGGTGCTATCTAAAGTTGGCAGTAGTATTAAGTTTATTAAAGCGTAAGATTTCAATAGCGAAAGTGGAAGTTCTCCAAATTTAGACATAGTAGAGGATCCTAACTTGTTCGATAGACTCATTGATCAATGTAAACAAAGAAAACTTAATAAGAACCAAGTAATGGCTTACTTCACAGATGCAAGCATAGAAATGCAAGATTCCATTTTTTGTGTTTAATTTTTGTGTCATGATCACCTGCTGCAGATGCACTACAGGTATAATCTTTAACCAGTAGCTCTTCTTGAGCTTCTTTGTAAGTTGAGTCACACTGAATGAATTCGAATGGTTGCCAACTTGAGGTGGAGGGAACATCATTCTTTAACAAGTCGTCTAAGCATCCTGCGCCGCGACGCTTTTTCTCATATGCTCCGCATTCTCTTAAAGGCCGCACACCTTTTTGGCAGTCAAACTTATGAGGGTTTACTCCTACTTTCAGCTTTAATCTTCCACTGACTAGTTAATATTTTATCAGATTTTCAGTATCATTCTCAATATGTAATAACAAAAAGGCATTTGAAGTAACCTAATTTGTGGTGTTACTTTTCTAACATCCCATTAAAATATATAATACCATCGCACTTGATGCAGTATAGAATCAACCTACTTGACGCCTTTTTAGGGAGGTAAGTGACACTATAGTAGCTCACAAATGTTTTCGCTGAGTTGGAATAAGTGATCTGTAATAGTAGTTGATATAGCTCCCCCCAAATGCCGCGGGTACAGTCAAATGAGCTTGGAACTCATATAATATACAATAATCATAAATAAATAGTAAAGTGATATAATCTTATCAAAGTGGCCTTCACAAACATATGTTGTACTTCTTTGGTCCAATCAAATCACGCTTCATAAGTTTCCACCATTTCTTCCTGATATTTTTATGTGAAGGTACGTAGAAAATATGTTAATTAGCGGTAGTAATTTTTTGAACGATACAGTATTTATAACAAATTTTTTTTTGTTATTTTCGCTCATAACCGATCGCATATAAACAAATTGTCGCGGAAGACTTTTAGCCTACCACGTGTTCCCGCTGTATGTGTACCTATCTGTGTGTTTAGGAAATTGAGTTGGCCACGGCCGTCGCAACTGGATAGTGGAGTGTGACGTCACGACTCGCGTTCACTACAATAAAAATATTCTCGCTGGGCGCAACTTTTTTGTTTTTAGAGATAAATTAATAATTTTTCACCCTCTTGTTTCATTTTTCTTAAAATTTAATCTGAGCTAATAACAAAACAATGGTAAACTTGTCCATTCTTTGATTTACAAAGGTGGTATTTAGGTCGAGTAATTGAATACTCGGCAAAAAGGGGTATTCCGTGAAATGGTTCAAATATGCCGAGTACCGGGTACAAACTCGGTGCACCCCTGTTTCCTTCAATCACCCATTTATTTTTGCAGATATTTCCAAGATGTGTTGAATTCGCCTGTCTTACCATCAGACTGCAACGAAATTCAGCTGAATAAGGACGGTTCTTGGAGTGTCCAACAACCAGAGAAGAAAGTCGCGGCTAAAGTTGAGAAAACTACTTCTATCAATCTGGACGATTCAGTGGTTGAGATCATTGGTGATGATGTTGGTAAGTCAAGCTTCAAGTATTTTATGATAATATTACTAACATAAAATGTATATGTATAAATGCAGTTTCTTTGATACATTTGAATATTTATCCGTCTAAAGTAGCTGATAAAATTTGTCACGGAATAACATAACGTCAATTGTTGATCACAAAACACTTCTTACGGATGTGTAAGAGACTGAAACTACAATAAAAATGGGATGTAACACTGAGCAATGTTTACTTGCACTATCAGTTTATTGAAATTCCATTGTTTCATCACTTTTTATTGTCGGTCTCAGCCAATTATTGCTGTTTATACTCGTATCAGTTTGCTAGGGAGTGATTTTGCTACTTTTTTTATTTTATTTATTCAAGGTTTCCCATGACATACAATAAAACATTACGTGTATGTGACAGATTACAATAAATTTATATAAATTATTCAACTAAAGGTTCATGTGATACTCAATCTACTTATGTTTGAAACCAAAGTTAAATAGTCACATTTTAATATTACCGTTGAAAACATCTATTTTGTAGCTTACAGCGGCGTTGCCAGATCTAAGAACTCTTGTAACTAGTTCATTCGTACCATAATTCGTAGAATGATGTGGAATCGTAAACAACTCTGTATAGCGAGTTCGTCTTTTATTGACAATGAAATTTATTTGTGCAAGCACCTCTGGGCAATCTATGACACCATTAACTACTTTTAACAGAAAACAAATCAAAAATTCCCCTGCGGCGTTTCAAGGAGTCGATGTTCAAGGTATTCATTAGTTCTGAAGCATTCTGACTCCGACCGATTTTAATAGCTGCCTGCTTTAAAAACTTACGCTGCACTGCTTCAATGGAGTTAATGTCACCAACTAAATTTGACGACCATACCACTGTGTTGTAATACAAAATACTCCGCACCAAAGAGCAGTACAAATTGCGAAAGACTTTACAGACAGATGTTTGGTAGATCTAATTATGTATCCCAATATTTTATACGATTTAGAAGTAATTTCTCTAATGAGTGTTTTAAAAGTTAATTTTGTATCAAAAGTTATACCTAAATCCCTAACTGTCTCAGTTCTCATTAGGTTTTCAACTTTATATTCATACAGTAATGGACAAAAGTATATAGACAAATTAATATTGTGCTGTATTTCTTTTTTAACTTGTTTTATTAAAACACCAACCTGTATACATAATTCGTTATAGCATAATACTCACTTATACATAAATAAATACATTAGACTCCTTCAATAAAGAATTGATTGAAAAGAAACTGGAACTATGAAGGACAAAAATATATAGACAAAGCAAAACAATTATAGAAAAAAGAAGCAAAGTTCATTGAATTATAGGAAACCAACCATTTTTGTGTTAATATTTTGTAGCATAACCATTATTATCAATCACCGCCTGGCATCGTCTCGACATAGATTGTAGAAGTTTCTTCATATAAAGTTCATCAATATGTCTCCACTTTTGCTCTAAAGCGGCAAAAAGTTGTTTGAATAATTTTTATCTCGTATTTGCTTATCCAAGTATTCCCTTAGATTTTCAATGGGGTTTATATCGGGAGACTGTGAAGGCCATTTGAGAACTGGTATTTTTTCATCCAGAAATAATTTCTTTGCAAGATTTGAAGTGTGCTTCGGGTCATTATCTTCCTGGAAGATTGATCTTAAGGGCATATTGTCTTCCATATAGGGTAACATGACATGCTTTAGTATGTCTGTGTATACAAACTTATTCATAATGCCATCTATTCTATGTAAAGGTCCCATCCCAAACCCCGAAAAGCACCCCCAAACCATAACAGACCCGCCTCCATGTTTGACAGTGGGCAAAGTGTACTTGGGGTTCAATCTTTGTACACTAGGACGTATAACGTAATGAACACCATCTGATCCAAACATATTGAACTTGGATTCGTCACTGAAACATACCCTCTTCTAGTCTTAGATGCTCCTATCAAGATGCAACCGTGCAAATTGTAATCGGTCCTTACGGTTTTTCCTCGAGATTAGCGGCTTCTTACTCAGGCGACGTGCAAATAACTTCAAATCATTTAATCTTCTACTTATAGTTTTCGTAGAAACACTGGCAATTCCTTTTGTCTCGATTTCGGTTTTTATTTTGTCTTGGTGGTTTTAAACGGATCTTTGGACGAAATTACTTTTATTAATCTAACTGATCTAGCATTTAGTTTTCTAGGCCGACCACTTCTCTTAAAGGCTTCCAAGATACGTTTTTGTTTATATTTGTTCAAAATTGCCCAAGCTGCTTTACACTTCAGCTTCAAATTTCACATCGAAAGAAATTTCTGCACAACGCGGCATGGTCTCAAAATCATTCAACTTATTCCACACCACAATACTTGATGAACACAAACTAATCCTCTTCTGACACGAGACTGTACTTAAACTAATGTTGAAAAGAATTTGTCTACATATTTTTGTCCCTCATAAAAAAGTGCTTATATTCAGACTTGAATTGTGTTCATTGCAGATAATGTAAAAACAAGGAATTTAGTTTTTCTACTAATAACGCATTTGTTTATGGAGCAATGAAGTATGAATTCGTTTTCTAAAGGTAATTAGGTAAAGATTCATATTTGTCTATATACTTTTGTCCGTTACTGTATGTGAGAGAATTTGAAATACGGCTGAAGCTTCTCTGGTAGCATTTATTCAAATTGATGTTGATCTTATTAGTACTACACCACCAAGTAAGATTTATGAGATCTCTTTGTAAGATTTCCATATCGTGGATATTTCTCACTGTTCTGAATAATTTAAGATCATCTGCAGAAATCAAATAACTGCTATTTGATGTAGCTTCTGCAACATCGTTAATAAATAAATTAAATAAAATTGGACCAATGTGGGAGCCTTGGGATACACCTTAACCTTAAAAGACATTGTTGCTACTTGTTGCTTTAGAACAGCAAAGGTATCGATTTTGATCGAGCCTTGGCAAATACCAACCTAGCAGCTAATTTTTTAAACTGTTTTAGCAAAAATGTTCCAGTTTATTTTTTTTTTTTCAGAAATTGTGAATCCCAGCAATGGAAACAACACAGCTACCTCCACAACGGACAAAACCAAAGATGCAGAACCCAAAAAGGCTGATACTGTTGACCTCACCCTGTCAGACTCTGATGATGATGAACCGCTAGCAAAGAGGAGAGCTCTCAATCCCAAACCAGGCAAGTGAATAAAGACTGTATTTTCCCTATAAGCGCTTATTTTGTTACAAATGGTCATGTTAAATATATCTCAGTCAGCCATGAAATGAAGTAAATCGAAGTTAGTGGTTAATCGCAAATTTGACACATTTTATGTTTATTTGTTTCAAGCCTCATCTATTGTTCATAATTTTAAGCAAAGGTGGCTACTTAGATGTGTTTAATATCCGCTCTAGTGTTTTTAGTTTTAAAAATCAAGTTTTTTATTTTAATATAGAACTACTGCTTACATGTTATTTTGTTTCCTTCGAACACCGTTATTTGTAATTTTCTGTTGAAATTTTGCTTCGATCTCTATGCAAGTATTTGTTAAGATGTACTATTATTGTAACTTATCACAATTATATAATTTTTTAGCAAATTCTTTTTTTATTTTCCTCCCTTCAACCAAATTTTGCGTATCAATGGCAGCATAAAATGTCATCAAATTATTACTCGTCTGGTCATGGGAAAGTTCCGTTGGTGGTACTACGACACGTCCGAAATGTGATTTGAAAAAGTATGTGTACTTTGCGTACCACAGATAGGAATGCTTGCATACTAGACTGGTATATTTGACATAATTTCTTTTGAAGGGGGATTTCATTCATTGCTAAAAAAATCTTTTCGTGCGTGTTTTGGAAGTACAATTACGAGCACATTCTGAATAAAGATATTTTCGACCACGGATTTTTTCATCCATACTGATAAGGTATTAGACCACGCACGGAATATATAAATGAACTTATACAATTACATTTGTTACACATACAGTGGTGGTCAAAAAAATAAGAGTGCACATTTTGAAAACCAATAATATAATTAAACGTTAAGCAATCTATAATCTTATACAAATTAAGAATATTGTTTTCTCTTTTAAAATAAAATGAACATTATAATATTAAAAATAATAGTTAACAATCATTCAGATTTTGTGAAAATACAAGTGGTCAAAAAATAAGAGTAAGTTTGAACCATAGATAAAACAGAACACTGTATTTAATTAACATATCTTTATTTCTAATTAACGAGTATTTTCAGTACTTGATAGTGTAACCCTTGTTCTTCGAAACAGCACCACATCTGCTTGGCATTGAGTTGATAGGTTTGTGACAGGTTTCCTGGGGTATTGAATACTATGTTTTTTGAACTTCACAAAGTAACTTTTGGTTTGTTGTCTTTTTCAATTCCTTTAAAAGATTCTCTATCGGATTCAAGTCGGGAGACTGTGGAGGCCACGACAAAACTTCAATTTTCTTCGACTGGAACCACCGTTTTACTACCTTTGCTGTATGCTTAGGATCATTATCCTGTTGGTAGATCCATCATAGTGGCATATTTTCCTCAGCATAAGCTAGCATAACCTTCTCCATGATTTATAAATAAATTTCCTTATTACCGCATATTTTGATGTTTTCTCCGCCAGGCTTAACCGTTCTTATTGTGTAGTGCGGATTCAGTTCCCTAGTTGGACCTCTCCTTACGTAAACCCTACCATCAGATTCAAACAAATTTGTTTTCGTTTCACCGCTAAAAAGGACATTTTTACTATTGCGACTGTAGATGTCGTTTAGATTATTTCTTGCAAACTCCATTCGTTGCAGTATATGCTTTTTAGATAAAAGGGAAACTCTTCTGGGAACTCTGCCATGAATATTCATTCCTTGCAAACGTCTTATTGTTATAGTGCTGATAGATCAGCCAGACTGACCTTTTATAACAAATGAATTCGAAAATGGATCTCTAACAGCTTCACGAGCAATCCTTTTATCCATACGTGGCGTTGTTTTTCTTGGACAACCTCTTCTTTCTGGTTGTTTCTCAGCAATTTGTTGTTTTTTTAGTGCTTTAGCTATCACACAAAGGGATCTTTTAAGTACACTCGAAATAAATGCGTAGGTTTTGTTTTGGCTACGCATTTGTAATATTAAACGCCGCGTATAATGTTTTACGCGACCCGTGTTGCAAAGAAAGGACCGTCAATAAACCCTGCAAATGCTATACTAAGCATAGAAATATTCTTCTGGCTATAATAGCATAAACATTTAACATACTCTTATTTTTTGTCCACAAAAATTTCCGATTCCTGATAAAACTGAATGGCCTTGACATTCCATATGTGTACTTTATCAGCATGTAAAGCATAAATCTTTAGCTTGTATAATGCACTATCCAAGAAAAAAATTACTTTTTAATCAGCTTGATAATTTGGTGTTTACATAACATTTTACATATTTTTCTTTTACGCTCTTATTTTTTTGACCACCACTGTATATAACATACAGGACGTTTACTATGACATATTCTCCGTTCTTGAAAAAATATGCCTAAAAGGTTAAACTCGTTGTGGATTATAGGAGAACCAAATAAGCGGCCGCACTGGATTATATGTCAAGACGGTAAGTTAGCACAAACAGACGGAACTTGTACGTGGCAGTGACACCCACTCGCGCATTACATAATACGAGTTTTTTTAGGAGACTTATTTGCTTTCTGTTGTCAGTCTTCAAAACTAGACATATACTTTACTGATGATTGCTTATAAGCGTGTTTACGGTTGGTCATGGTAACAGAGATGGAGATGACGACTTTGATGAAAAATTGTTCGTAACATCCGCATCAGTGTGAGTAAGATATCAGATAGGAGATACATTGGTACGAAAATCGGAGAAAAGTTTTTCTATTACCTATGACAAGGCAAAATTCTGCAGATGACATTTTTTTCAAATTTATCAAGTAAATGGGAATATATAACTACTTACTTAAGTCTTGTAATAAAAATCATTAAAGGTTGCACCATGCTAGCGACCTGCATGCGACTAAAGACTAAATTTTGTCATCAAATTAATACCCTCTTAGAGGTGAGGTTTGATTCAAGTGGGGAAGTCGCTGAAGTTTAGTAGCAAGCTCGCACCTATTCGTTTATAAATACAATGCAGAAAAATAGCTTGCAATAGTATAACAATTCATTAGGTAAGACTAGTTGAACCAATTCAAATATAGTTACTGTAAAAGCAAAGTCAATTATTGGTAGCTTCACTTTGATCCCCAATTATGAAACTGTGATCAATACATTTATCAATTGCTATTGGATGACAATAGATGTGTTAGAGAATCGTCTCATCTTTTATCTGTATGTTCAAGCTAATAGAGAGAGAGAGGGAGAGAAAATTGATGGTCGTATATCGTTTAATCATAAATCGTTATAATAGTGACTCGATTGTTAGAATAACGTAAACCTTTAATGTACTTCATCGTAAGATCACTCCTACTATCAAAAATTCTAGTTACTTTGAAACCAGAATGAGTGTTTTCAGAACCCATCTTTCAGTCAGATTGACACTGATCATTCTCATTATTTGACACTATTCACAGATTCGACGGGCATTACGTCATCCACCGCCACATCTGCCAATAACCGAGCCGCTACCACCCCTGGACCATCGTCGGTATCTTCATCTGGATACCCAGCCAGCCCTTCGATCATCAATCTCGACAGCCCGTCGCCACCTAGATCGCCCAGGACTCAACAAGCTACCTCAGTAACCCAGCAGCAACAACCTGCTTCCTGTATGGTCCAGGCGCAGCAACAACAGGTAAATTCAAATGCTAAATATGCTTAAGGTATATTCATGCCTTGGACGCCCATTTAGGATCCTAAAATCCACGCAGGTTAAAATTAAACATTTTTTTACACCGAAGCATCCGCGCAGGCAGAAGCCTGAATGCCAGGGCACCACGGCTGCTATGAGGAGCTTGAAGAAACTTCGTTAAGCCAATTTTTTAACTGCCTAAGGTTAGTAGAACTGGGAAAAGCCTTCTTGAGTAGATTGTTCCACAATCTCGATTCGCTAGAGACAGCGGTCGTATCGACCAGTTCTGAATTTAAAAAGTTCTACACTTCTTGTATATCAAGGTACATTACTGTGTTTTGGAAGCATTAAACTGTAGCAGATTGTTGCGTCTCCAAGTAGGCATAACCTTCTGGTCTCTCGAAAGAGAGGAAATCGCTGATAGTATTTTTTCCAGGCACCCATCTGCAAAACTTCTCTGGGGTGCCATAGAATGGAAGTTTGCATAATAGGGCAGAATACCACAGCTGGTCGAACTGAAATAGTTTACTCCATAATTGCGTGACTTCAGCTAGGAGGTCACCTGTAGATCGCGTGTACAAGAAACCATACTGCCTGTCGCTAATCAAGCCCTGACATTCGAGGTACTCCAGAAGTATGCACCTCTTCTTCACCTGACTTATAAAAGAAAGCAGAGCTATTAGCCTGTAGTTGTAAGGGTCGGTCTTAGATCTTTTTTTTATGGGTTGGACATGAGGCAATTTCCAGTTTTCCGGGAAGGTGCCGGAGTCGTAAGATATCTGGAAGAGACGCGAAAGAACTGGAGCAAGCTCTTGGAGGGGTGGGATGTCCATGGTGGAGTTGGCAGCAAAGATCTTGACAATTGTTCCGTCCTGGCACGAATTATTGAACCAGCCGTTGGACTCTGGTTTAGGTACTTTCACTCTATGTGGGATGTATTCCTCCATCCCAATGTGGACAATTTTGGTTATTGATGAACAGACCGTCGACGCATCGGGATCAGCGTAACAAACGTCTCTCCAAGGAAAGCTGGAATAGAAGTACTTGAGCTCTTCCCACTAAGCATGTCCGTAATGCCACATTTGGTGTCCTGGGCGAGTTTCTGCCACAGTCAGTTCTCACTGAAACCTAACCTACACAACACCATGGTTTGAGTTACCCAGAGGAGACAGGACAGCAGTGCTGTAAGGGACAGGATGCGTGGTCAGAAAGATATCTAGCAGACTACTGGCGTGTGACGAAAAGCGGGGGAAAAAGTACTACACATCACCAACTGGGTTGGTCATTGGGTAATAGAGAACGCTTCAACAGTATGAAATGCTACCTTGTTTTAGCCTAACCAGAGCTCAGTATGGGCATTGAAATCACCGAGGAGAACTACCTCTGAAGCGGAGTGATTGGTGTTCAGGAAGGCGATCGTGACAGCAAGGTATCCAAGTAGTCAAACCGGTTATTGTCCAAGGGAGAGCGATAAAGGCAGCAAATAAATTTGAGGGATGTTGCAGTTGAAGTGAAGCCACAAAATGCCCTTCCGGCCTGATTCCAAAGAACCAACTCTGGAGCAGGAAAGACTACAGTACAACTTCTGAAACCCGCATTTGCCACAGCCCCGCTCAGTAGGGTTATAAGATACTGCGATCACTAGGAAACTCTGCTTTATCTGTAACTTTTATTATAAGGGATTCAAACGATAAATCTGTCCATTGTCTAATATTTCTTAACAAGGACATTTTCCTTCCTAAGTCACGCTCTTCCCTAGTATATTACCTTCAATCATATGTTGATGAATTTCGTATTTATTGTTTCTTAAAACATGACCGTTTCCGAACTATTTCGTGTACTTTATGATTAAAAACTTTGAGTGAATGTAGGAACACGTTTCGCAAGGATATTTTTTGATTTTACCATGCATATTAATATAAAAAAATATTTCTAGCTACAGAGCAACGGCAAAGCACCCCAACAACAACAGACACAACAACCAGCTTATGTATCAGCAGAGAACAGCATGCCGTACTTAGATCTGGAGAACGAGGCGGCCAGTGCAGCCGGGATGAACTATTCTGCGGGTTACTGATGGAGTGAGTGCGAGGACAGCGCGATGGCGGATTACAATACAGGAATGCTGTTTGCTGATTGGTTGGTGCAGTGAAGTGTACATGCAGTGATTTGTGAACATGTGGTTTCCGGTGAGGAGTGGGATGGAATTATAGAATATGATGGTGTGTGGTTGTCGTCAAGGTCAAATTAAAACGATGCGACGATCTCAGGTTTCTTCATATTGGCCGTTTTTAGAAATATACAGGCTTAAAATGAGATGAGGCAGAATCGCGAATGTAATTGAATTGGTGAGATGAAAAACGGTTCATGTCCCAAATTGTACTTTTGAGAAATAAAAACCATATAGATTTAAAACTGTTTCAGATAGCATGTTTACTTGCACAGGTAAGTTCTAGCTCTCATTATTTCTGAACCAGTTAGGCACTTATTATTTTGAAATAAGGTCACTTATTGAGTAAGGCCTACAAAGGTTAGTGGACTTGTACTGTTTTTCAACTCAAGCAAAAAAAAGTGAGAAATTGGCGAAATTATACTACAAAACCAAGACAAAATTATTTATCAAGTATAACAAAACTAGGGATCCTCTTCAACCTTGGTAGTACACCATGAAGTAACATGATAATAAAATTCCAAGGTTTCTCCTGTTATATGTTGCATCACCTTTCTCATGTCATCAATCTATTCCTTATTTATTGGAACAGGTGTTTTATAAGCCTTTTTATTGGAAACGACCGGATTTGCTTAATTCTGTTTCAAAAGTTTAAAAGTGTATGAAGATGAAACATTTATATAATCCCATAACCACGGGTGTCATTATATAGAAACTGCCTATAGTTTGAAATGCTAGTTTCTTTTTTAGCATCGCTTTCGCCTATAGAAGTACAAATAGTTTTCTTGTAGTGTAAAGACCACCAATTTTTGAAGTCAACTATGTCAGATGGTCAAATTTGCTGAACAGTGGATGGTGACGTTGGACCGAATCATCTCATTGTAATCTTCATAAGTGTATAATCCTGTCGTGTCTCCTGAAAACCCGCTTAACAGTGCCAAAATCACGCTCGCAAGGTAAAAACGAATGCCCACGCACAGAAAAATAGCGATACATTTTTTTTAAAACAGCTAGTTGCCTGTTGTGCAAGCAGGAATCGGATCTTTGTGTGGTAACGGTCTGGGCAACTGTCAGAAAACAAGTGCAACTCTGTTATCTCATTAGGAAGATAGTTGTCTGTATAGTCCTTGAGGAAAGTGCAAACTTCGTCGGGTCCTTTGTGTGCATGTCCTTCATGGTAGGTGTAAAAATGCCCTGGATTGTTTTAAAGATTATGCACTTCAAAGCCGTAAGTCCATAATAACTGTCAATAATAAAATATCTCTTGCACTGGAATCTGCGGAAGAGGCAGGTGTTGGATGTAGCAAAATGTCAGTCCCATAACTTCTTTTTGACTTTTACACTTTTCTGCAACTTCTTTTAGTTTTGTTATGTAAATGCCAATGCATTATGACAGTGTGTTGAATAACAGTACAAGTCCGCACTAGTACTGTTTTTCTACTCAGTGAAAAGTAGCATGTTCGGGTCTACAATAGAACGGGATGTACAATGAACTGTTTGCACACTTAGTCAATAGGAAAGCAAATTTAAAGGCCTCAAATTTTTTGACTTGTACTGTTTTCCAACTCACCGATTCAATTTCAGTTTATATGAGAGTTGATTTTGGGCATACAGAAACTAGGGCTGCCTTGAAGCAAGCTCAATCTGGAAGACCACTTTTCAGTCACTATCTAAAGCACTTTCTATGTTGTAATAACTCGGAGTTGACTTCTAAATATTCTACTGCACCTGGTTCATTCACATAGACAGATCCACACAAAATAATCTTGCTACAATCGGTTCACGTTTATTTCAATAAACTAAACGAAGAGAGCGAAAAATTAGCGAATCATGGCTTTAGAAGCAAACATTCGTGTTAATACAACAATTATAAATCCCGTAATTCTCATTGTCATTTTGTAAGTATATTTTCTATCTGCATATCAGAATTTAGCTTGATAGCAAATATATCTATGACATATATATTCATATAAAAAATGAATCAGTTGTTTATGTTGAGGAGATGTTAGATGTGAAGCTTAAAAACTACTAAATAAAGTGATTGGCATTTATAGTGAATGATATGGAAGGATAATTCTGAAATCATGTAAGAACTATAACATTATGGATCACCATCAAAGCACTTATTGATCTGTGGTTCATTTGACTTAAAAAATAAACAAGACTGGACAGCGAAGTAAGGATGGAAGACCTTTTATTTTTAAAACCAAAAACAATTTGTTTATATACAACGTATTTTAGTTGGATTGTAGACCTAATTACATTCAAACCAACTTAGATGGCATTCTTTAGGGACTAATGAAAGGGCATTTATGAAAACTTGATATTTTCATAATACATATTGTATATATATCATTAATATCAAATACGTTGGTTAATGCATTCTACCTGAAGATGGCCAACCTAAAAATATGTATATCCCAGCGTTAATTAAAACATTATCATAGATAAAATGAGGTAGTGTAGTGTCATCTCCTCACTGCACTAATTAGAAATCTACTTTGAAAAGGTTAGCGTCTCGTAGACGGCGTTGTAGCCAAATATATGCTTCATGCTAATACAATACACTAACATTTTCAAAGCTATTTTCAATTAGAGCATGGAGCCTATATACCAGAAGAAATTAAGGCACTGCTCTCCATGCTGTAAGAAGTCCCCGAAACTTGACGCCTGGAGAACTAGTGGTGCTTTGACACACACTGAAAACCAAATACTGCTGACGTCGTAATGTCTACGAGAGAGAAGCGCGCAATATGTGTGTTAGAAAGAGATATAAGCACCTCGTTGCCTAGCAACCGTGTACGAGGTCACGGAAGCCATCGGCGCACTCTTTCCAACATACTATCGCGCTTCTCTCGCGTACGTCGTCATCCAAATTTGAATCTCACCATATAATGTTCTTGGGGATATCACACGTTTCGTAAATAGAAAGCGTCCCGCCGCTCCTTGAACCTACCACTTTATATTAATTACTGTGATTTGGGTATTTTTTTGAAATAGTAGAAATTCTGAGGGATTTTTGTGCTTGTTTTGGGGAACTTCTGTGGAACCCATTTGGCAACGCTGTGCTTTGACAGATCCGCCATATGACGATTTTCCTTAGTGTAAGATCCGGCCACTTGAACCTGCAGGTATCTGTTTTTGATAAAACTTGATTGATAAATAATAGTAGAAAATATTTGCCAGGCAACCCTGCTATTATTTATATTTATCAAAAGTAGGTTTTATAGAAAAAAAAACAGATACCTGCAGTTACATCGAACTACAACGTGAGATACCCTGCGCATGCGCAGTAGTTGGTACTCGCTTGGATCAGTAGTCAGGTCTCAAGTTTTGGGGTTGCTTTTTACTCATTTCGCCGATTCTTCTGGTATTGTAGACAACAACGATATTGTATTCGTTTACATTTTTGACCGATAGTCATAAAACGGCTATAAAACCGAGAACCGAAGACATGAGGGCAGAGACGGATCTGAAAATTTTCAAACATTTTCTCTCGCAAGTCTGGATGAGTTGTTGAAGTATCGTCGATTGTTATTGTAATTAATTATCCTGACATTAGTTAAAAATTCATACTATTAACCAAAATATACATATGTATATCTGATGGTAACAATGTCAAAGAGGTAAAGTTACTTACCTAATTTGCTATGTTGAGGGGCCTTCTTTGAGAAACACGCACATCAAGATCATTCATCTAAATACATTTTCATTTCACTTTCAGACTTCTTTATTTAAAAAATGTCCTACAACTTAATCCTCTTCTTCCGTCAATGATGACGTCAATAATGAACTTCGCGTTGCCCATTTGGTGAATCTTATGTCAGTCTTTATATTCATTTTCAATTTGTAGGATGGTTCTCTTCCAAGACAATTCAGTGATCTGGCCTGCCTCTGATCTGATTAGGTTGGCTACTGAATGGTAGCTGGCATTATCCAAGACAATGATACTTCCAGGTTTCATATTTGGCAGCAATCTGGTGGAAAACCATTCCTCAAACATCTCAGCATCCCTATTCTCATGGTAGTCCAGCTTGCAATCCGCTATTTTCTTGCCAGATAACAATAGCGCATTTTGAACCCAACCACCTGCGGAGCCACGATGCAGCATGACCATCCGAGATCCTTTATTTGGTGATACACCTTTCAACTGACATTTTGTGGATAAGTCGGTCCGCCCCTTTTTTGCTGTATCATGTGTATCGTACGTTTCATTGGCCTACTTTCTTCCCTATATTCTCTAATCTTTTCTAAGTAAGCCTGTCGCCATTGCACTATGCGCTTTTACTTTCCAAGACTGCAGAACTCTTGTTGATAACTCCAACTTTGAATCCGACCTTTGGCAGCCACTTCTGAAATGTCCGCTGGTAACAACTCTCGGCTCTTTCCATCAATTCTCGATATACCATCTCTGCTGTGGGAATTTCATTACACTTATAATGATCATACGCTATGTTCCTTATTTTGGCAGTTGTTGCTGCACTTAAAGGTATAGATGTCCCCTTGTCAATTCTTATTTTTCTTGGTGTGACACTGTTACGAATAATTTTAAAAATTGTAGGATATGGCACGTTAGTCAGTTCGGCTATCACCCATTTCACGTAACAGTCCATTATAAACATTAATTCAAATCTGTTGAGCATCAACAGACAGGCACTTCTTTTTAGAAATACGACGGTAGTCCTGTCAATGCTTCCCTCGTTACTACTATCAGTATCATGCGCACTGACAGTATCACTGTCTGGAAAGTCTTTACTGCAAGATGGCTTTCCATCATTCATAGTGCCTTTGTATACATAATTTTCGATGTCCATGGGCCGCTGACCTGCCTGAACAGATCGTTCCCAAGGGCGGAAAAAATTCGTATCAAACATGATTATTATTCAAGACGTCGTCCGTCAACCTCAATTTTCTGCATAGAACTGAAAATATATTCCCCAGTATCGCTTTGTTGCATCGCGCTAGTTCACCTGCGCGCAGGGCTCGGAAGGAGGGTGGAGGAGGTCAGGTCTTCATAGCGCAATCAGATTATGCGAACTTGTTGCTGTGACAGTATCGACACAATGCGATTTTTTAGATTCGCTACATTCAAACCAATTGTATCGAACTATTGGAGCTTTTTAGGTTATCGCACACTGCTCAAATGTATTATTTATATAGATGAACCAGATTCCATTATTATTTATACCGTATCATATAATGACCGTACTATATGGCGGGTCAGTAACTGACGGAAGCAGAAAAAATGTAAACGAATATAATATCGTTGTCGTCTACTATATATAGCCCCATGGTGGAGACGAGAAACAGCTGTGACAAATTCTCATACATAACGTTACGGTATGTCGGATAACTTTTAGGACACGGGAATGCGGTATTAGGTTACCTATCTGAATACTGTAATTTTTACATATGAACAGTATTTTTTAGAACTTCGGTGTCTCTTAACACAAATAATCCTAAAAGTGTAAACATAAGCCTCATTTTACATTTTACATTGATTATGTTAATTTGAATGAAGCAAGGGATTGAAACTCATGGAGTGGATATAAACACAGTGATGCACTATATGCACGATACTTGAAGTTGAAACATTAGATGGAGTGGTTGTTTTCAAAACTACCTTGTGGTAATGGATGGTAATCTGGAAAGCTAGAAGTGAAGACTAGTTAGGCTGGCGATCATGTCTAAAGTTAGACGTCAAGACGTGATGAAGTATCGTGGAAAATAGGTTACCTTTCAGATACGTCTTTTCCCCATCTACTCTTGGCAGTTTGACCTCCAAACTCTAGCGCCACACAGCGGGACTAAAATTGGACATCACTGCCATTAGAGGGTACCTCATCCAAAGTGTACTGGAGTACCTGATTTCACACTGTATTGGTATCGAATTCACCAATGAGTGCTGGCCTGTCCACCTGTTGCTGAGAAATCATGTGAATTTGCTTATGGTTTACTCTACCGTAGATTTAACCGGGTATAATGTAAATGAATGTAACCACTGACTATAAATCTCTTTAGTAGCCTAACCGACCATCATAGGTCAGGCTTTTTTCTCTTTATCCAGAGCAAGATACATTCCATTGTAAATGTTTACAATGAGAATGGTTTTATTTTTGTATTTCCTATAAATATATAAATGATATAGTTGAGGTATTGTGTTTTAATTGTGCAGAGAACATTTACTATAATTGAAAGTCAACCAAAACATGAAGAGCATTGACTTTTTGGAAATGATACTATTCTTTCATGACTTTTTAGCACATAGATGGACATGTACGTTACCACAACACTATGAAACATAGGAAGTGGAAATCAGTGCAAATGACAACAAAGTAGAGTTGTGTAATATTAATGGTAAACTGTATATGGTTCACCATATATGCCCATCCTTTGTTGTTAATAAGGTGACTGTGTATATGCCATTTAGGAAACATCTATGAGAAAGAAGAGAGAATGGAATTCATTTGTACATTGTCCATAGGGTCTGTCTGCTTGTCAATGCCTACTAACTAAAGTAGATTTATTGATTTATCCACTTGTAAAATAGAAGTGAATATAACATATTTTTTACGTACGTTATGTTTTGTATCACAGCCTATAACTGTCGTATCAATTTGATTTATATTATGGGGTATTACTTATTATTTTTAATTATTGTATCGAGTTATATTTTCCATTTTCGATAGTTACTATGAATAGTATTATATTTATTATGGTGAATAAATTTCACATTCATGGATTAGTGTTTATTTTTTTCCATTACACGATCTGAAGGCAGCGTTTCTCAACATTTCACCATTCGCCACCCAATTTTTGCACGTCAGCCTCAGTCGAGTCAGTCTATCTGTCTGTGCGAAATCTATTGTGAATGCGTATGTTATAGTTTGCGTGTTGATTGCAGTTCACGGTATTAATATATATATACGTATATATATAATGTATACCAAATAAATTTTTAAGTGGACGTAAGCGAGCATTCGCACAGGCGAGAGAGGTTCCAAAAATAAAACCATGAAAATATTTTCAATACTTACTTAAATTTTGAGCTTACATGTACTGAAGTCAATGAAAAAGAGGCCTCTGTGTATCATTTGCTCAAAAACTTTATCAGCAGACACCATGAAACCTAATAAACATAAACGACATTTGAAAACACTTCATAGTGAGTACGTTAACAAACCCCGAGAATTCTTTGAGTTAAAATTAAAATCATACGAAAAGCAAAAATCAATTGTAAAAGAAGCTATGTAAATGAAAAAGCTTTTCCTCTTATAAAGTTGCATATAAAATAGCCAGATTTAAGAAGCCTCACACTAATGGTGAAGAGCTTATATTGCCAGCTGCAATTAAAATTGTAGAAACTATGTTTGGAGATAATGTTGCCAAAAAATAAAAAATTGATCTCCTATCGAATTGGTGATATAGCCTAAAGATGTACAGCATCAGCTACTTGCGAAGTTGCGAGACAAGTTTTTTTCAATTCAGCTTGAGGAGGCAACGAACAGCAATAAAGACGCTCATCTTATTGTCTACGTTCGATCTTGTGTTGGCATATCAATAGTAGAACTCAAAGCAACAGCTCTCGCATTATTTGCTATTTTAAATGATTATAAAATCCAGGCAAATATAGAGTGGAAGAATTGCGTCGGAATATGCACCGATGGGGCACTGTGCATCTGGACACATTGCATGATTCGCAGAGAAGCTCAGGCTTACAAAGAAATGTCTCCTGGCCTGAATATTGTGCTAACTACGGTTGTAACAGTAAATTACATAAAAATGAGACCTTGAAAAACTAGAATCTTTTCTGCAATTTATATAGATATGGTGCAGTACATTCAGCATTACTATTCTTTTGCGAGGCAAGATGGTTACACTTACGACGTGTTTTTGAATTAAGACAAAATCGTCGTTTTTCTAGAAGAAGAAAACCGACCGGAAGCCGAGGTGGTTTATTTCTGTTAAAATTGAGCTATTTGGTCGACATATTCGGGAAACTAAATATCTTGAACCTTCAGCTCCAAGGAGTAAATACACATATATTGGATACAAATGATAAAGTTAACGCTTTTTGTAGAAAATTGGAATTGTGGAGCAGAAATTTAAAGCCAAAAAACCTGGAAATGTTTGCAAATGCGGATGAATTTATTAAAACATACAAGGTTGAAGAACAACATATAAAAGTTGTTTTCATAACCATTGAACATCATTTAGCGATGATGACAAAGAATTTAAAAAAATATTTTCTTGCCGACGACAAATTAATACTTAGTTACTAGTAGGTTAGGAATCCGTTTCAAATTACTCATGAAGGACTTTCGACTAACGAAGAAGAAATCTTCATAGACTTGACGGCAAACGCCGAAATCAAAAAACAGTTAGTAATAAATCCCTCTTTGGGCAGGCGTGAACGATGAGTTTTTGGCACTGAAGAACACATTGCATGATTCGCAGAGAAGCTCAGGCTTACAAAGAAATGTCTCCTGGCCTGAATATTGTGCTAACTACGGTTGTAACAGTAAATTACATAAAAATGAGACCTTGGAAAACTAGAATCTTTTCTGCACTTTATATAGATATGGTGCAGTACATTCAGCATTACTATTCTTTTGCGAGGCAAGATGGTTACACTTACGACGTGTTTTTGAATTAAGACAAAATCGTCGTTTTTCTAGAAGAAGAAAACCGACCGGAAGCCGAGGTGGTTTATTTCTGTTAAAATTGAGCTATTTGGTCGACATATTCGGGAAACTAAATATCTTGAACCTTCAGCTCCAAGGAGTAAATACACATATATTGGATACAAATGATAAAGTTAACGCTTTTTGTAGAAAATTGGAATTGTGGAGCAGAAATTTAAAGCCAAAAAACCTGGAAATGTTTGCAAATGCGGATGAATTTATTAAAACATACAAGGTTGAAGAACAACATATAAAAGTTGTTTTCATAACCATTGAACATCATTTAGCGATGATGACAAAGAATTTAAAAAAATATTTTCTTGCCGACGACAAATTAATACTTAGTTACTAGTAGGTTAGGAATCCGTTTCAAATTACTCACGAAGGACTTTCGACTAACGAAGAAGAAATCTTCATAGACTTGACGGCAAACGCCGAAATCAAAAAACAGTTAGTAATAAATCCCTCTTTGGGCAGGCGTGAACGATGAGTTTTTGGCACTGAAAAACAGAGCGTTTCGTATAATACTGCCATTTTCAACATCCTACCTTTAAGAAACAGGATTTTCGGCGGTGGCTGCTTTGAAGACCAAATATATGTAGATCGCAACTAAATATAGAAAAAGAACTGAGAGTGTCTATTTCAAATATTAAACCTTTGCTCGGCAAAGCAGGCCCAAGGGAGTGACTAGTAATTATTATTGTTTTTTACAATTAATATTATTAAACTTATTTTTAATTTAGTATTGATACATACAGCCGTGAAGTGTACCTACTATATCAGTGTTAATGTGTATTTTATTTTTGAATGTTAGAATTTTGTTTTTCTTTCCTTTTAGTAAATTATTCAATGTTGTTACTGTTTTTTTCTGATATACTCGCCCCCCCTTCCCCCCGTCCCCCCCCGCCCTAATATTGACACGCCCCCTAGGGGGTGCGCCCCACAGGTTGACAAAACGCTGGTATAATTCTTTAAAAGTGATATGGAGAGAAACTTTAAAATGCCATATGAGGCTGCCTACTGAAAAATATGACCAGAAGAACGTCACTCAAAACAAGATGTTATTCAAAAATGACCTACTGGCAATTGCAGGACAACAGATTCACACCAGTACAAGTTTTTCCCAAGAGTCAGCTTCAAGAACATCAAAAGAGACAAACGTGCTCCTCACAGAATCACCAAACTACCAAATAAAGACACGTATATAGAACAAGGCTTTATTGACCTGGCTAAACAGTCAATCAGAATCACGATATTATATAGGATAGCACTGATTACTACTGATTGATTGCACTCTTGGAATTAAGGAAAACCGTTCGCGTCCAAAAATCGCGCGGCCTAAATGTTCTCGAAGCGAAAGCTGATAAAAAACTAATAAAGATAAAGAGGATAAGTAAGTTACACCAGATCATAAAATGCTACCTCCTTCCCTTTTCCCTTCCACCACTGTAGGAAACGCTCCTAAGGGGTAAACGAATGGAAACGCGTTTTTTTTTGTATTAAAAGCGTTTGTTGAAAAATACAGATACAGTGAAAGCTCCCATAAGCGGACACTCACGGTTCCGTAACTTTTGTCCGCTTATGGGAGGTGTCCGTTTAAAAGAGAGTATGTAAGTATAGAGTATAAATAACGGGGTATATAATCATGAGGAAATGAGGTATTATAATCATGAGAAAAATGAAACAGAAACTCGTCACATTTTTAAAGTATGTATTTATGCTATATATCTATATAATATATGTACATATACGCATACAAAAACATAAATGCTTCAATACATGGTACGAGTATTTAAAAAAAACATTATTCTTTAACTTGTTGAAAAAAGTTTAAAATGTTTGTCTGACGAAATTTCACCATCTTTTGCTGAAGGAGACAATTTTCGTAATAACTTTCTAAATTTTTCAAATGTTGAAATGCAGTGAAATCATCTTTAGCAAATTTTTTCAATATAGAAATATGATTTAGAGCTTCCCCATATGAATTTATCGTTTTTGAACCGCTTAGTGAGTCCACCAGTTCCACTTCTTCTTCTGAGTCGTTTGGACTACCATATTCAAGTTGGCCAGGGCTTTCTACATCCAAATTCGAAAAGTTGCCAATGGCATTTTCTTCTGTTGTTATGTTATTGTCTATGGCCAGGAAATCATCTACTTTCTGGGGATCTGCTACTCCTAAATGTTTGGCATGTCGCAGTAACTGAGCAAGTGTTGCTAAGGGCAGATCGTCTTCAGCATCGCAATAATTTTGCTCAGCAAATTCTGAGCTACATTCACTTTTTCTGAATCCAGCTTTGCCAAAACAGTTTTTAATTGTAGAGGAATTTACTTTATTCCATGCTGTTTTTATAAAATACAAAGCTTCTAACACATTGATAGACTTTGTAAGCTCAGATAAGCTTTGACCATCGTCAATTTTTGTTAAAATATGTTTTAAAATCAAGTGCCGTTAATAAAAGTTCTGTATGACACCTTGATCCATGGGCTGACAAACAGAAGTTGTGTTTGGCGGTAAAAATATAATTTTCACATTTTTCATTTTCATATCACGAGGATGAGAGCATGCATAGTCTAAAAATAAAAGAACTTGCCTTTTTTGGATTCTCATTTTCCGGTCGAATTCGACTAACCACTCAGACATGATTTCTCGGGTCATCCATGCCTTTTTGTTGGATTTCCAAGTCGCTGGTAGATCCTTAATAGCAACGTTTTTTAAAGCACGGGGACGAGCCGCTTTCCCGATCACAATCAAATCGCATTTTTCACCGGCCATATTTGCACAGAATAAAATGGTTAGTCTATCTTTAGACAACTTTCCACCCACACATGTTTCTCCTTTAAAGAACAGAGTTTTGTCGGGCAATGCGCGAAAAAAAAGTCCACTCTCATCTGCGTTGTACACATCTTCTGGTTTGTAGCCAAGCAACATGGACGGAAGTTTCTCCATAAATTGTGACACATCAACTTGATCTACTGCAGCAGCTTCGCCAGATATGCATTTGAAACTCACACTATGTCTCTTGCGCCACTTTTGCAGCCAACCGTCGGACGCACTGAAATTATTATAGCCAAAGTAGTGGCGATTTCTTTAGCTTTCATTTTCACTAACGGCCCTGAGATTGGAATGTTCTGACTTCTAGCTTTCACAAACCACTCAAAACATGTTTTGTCTATAGCAAAACCTTCCTTTTTTAAAAAATCCTTCTTTTGATTTATATTAGTTCCTGATTGCCATTTACTCCTGATATCTTCCTTATTTTTGGCAATCTCAGCTGCTTGCGTTTTCCCAATATTAAACCTCTTTGCCAAATGACGAACTGAAACACTTTCTCTGTCTAATACGTTAACAACTTCCATCTTTTCCTTTAACGAGAGCATCCTTTTTTTTGGTGCCATTTTACAGTTACAATAATAAAATACGTAACTCAATCAACTACGAATTTGCCTGAACTGAAGACAAGCCACAAGATTACATACAGGCTACCCAACGAAATGCGTAAATGGGGAATCACCTAATATAAATCGGGGAATTACCGAATTTTATGTATGTAGATATGTGCATTGCAATAAGCGGAACTAAAAAATCGTCCGGGTATTAGAGTTTCGCGTCCGCTTATGGGAGATTTTTGATCACATACAGGAAAATTTAGTGTCCGCGTCCGTTTATAAGAGCGTCCGTTTATCGGAATGCATTTAACATTGAAAATTGATGGCTGAAATTCGGTTCCAGGAACTTTGTCCGGTTAAAAGAGATGTCCGCTTATAGGAGCTGTCCGCAAGGAGAGCTTTCACTGTACGCAGAAATATACATTAAATATCAAGATAGTGCATACTCAGTCACATTAGAAGTGCTACACCCAGAAAAAAATAATTTTTTATACTTGATTTTTTGACAATGAGGTAGTCTTACATCAAGAATGAAGCTATAACATTCTCAGGAAATTTTATTGATAATAAGAAAACAAATTAATAATGCGTTTGGCGCCCCCGCAGCTGAATACACTCCTGTATACGTCTAGACATCGACAAAATCAGAGGATCAATGTCTGGTTGTGGCTTGTGGCACCTCATTCCAAACTTCGTGGATTAGCTGTGGCGGATAGTGCAAAGTGAATAGTCTTCTCCCCTTCATGTTCGATGGGATTTAAGTGCCACGGAAAAAATTAACACCTGCTTCTTGAAGAACGTCTGTAGTACGACGAAGATGACACTATGCCATTACGTCTCCCAGTGTTGCCGTTCTCTGCTCCAGTTCAAACGTTGACGACAGTGGTCCGCAGTCAGAGGAAGCACTTACCGTAAACGGTATGAAAAAAGTCCGAATGCTCGAATGCGCCGTTAGAGTGTATGCATAGTAATATTTCTACCTTCTTCTCCAAACCATTGGTCAGCGATCTGACGTGTAGTAGCAAAGCGGTCTCGTAGGGATAGTTATCTGAAGCGCCTATCTTGACGCCCTGTGGTACGCCTCGGTGGACCAGTTGGCCTTCTTCGTGTTCCTCTACCTTCTATCCACACACGACACACACACGCATTACCGTGATTGCAGTCGCGATAGGAGAAACCAATACATATCTGAATAGGCAATCTACCCCTGTCAATGTCACTAACATGGTGATAATTTGACGTCGTCGCCAATTTTTGGCGCTTACGTCATCAACGCCATATGAAATAAGTAAATAGCTCGAGTCTCCGTACCATGGGCGGATCACTGCGCAGACCAATCTTCAGCGCATCTGCAAGTCTCTCCTGTATGCATGCAGTGGGTAACAGGGGACCGCTGTTTTCATTTTCTTCCTGGAAATATTTACGGGAATTTTACAATTTTATATTGAAGATTGATAACAAGTCAACTCAGATTGCACGCCGATGTCAAGTAAGTTGTCACTCTGAAAAGTAGGATTGAAGGGCACTCATACGTAACGACAAAGTTTTCGAGACAGAGACACACAACTAAAAACCTACATCTTTGAGCTTAACGAACAAACGTTCACATACACGGGTAGGTTACATGTGTATGTATGAGGGAGATGGAGTTGTATAAAGGAATACTGATAATCTTACTTTGGCCCGCCAAGAACGGTGACTAAAACTATAATTAAAAAATATCTGTACTAACTCAGCTCTCAGAAACTGCTTTTTTCACAAGAACTAAGAGATAACATTTTAACAAAGGTAAACAAGAATAAAGATGAAATGTTGACATTATCGCCACATCATGCCTTAGGTATACTCAATTTATTGCCAAAAAAATAAGTTAGAGAAATTATTTTTTCTGGGTGTAACACATCTAATGTCAATGAGTACATAAAACTGTAACAGAAATATTTAAATATAAAATATCATGTCGGCAAAACAAGCATTTTAATCCTCCATGTTTGTCTGGCCGAATCAAACCACATACGAGTGCGACGTTTCGGTGTCAATTGGATGGCTTTTTGCAGAAAGGAACCAACGCAGAAAAGCAAGTATTGAACAATCAAGTCTTAAAGTTTTGACAATAATAAAAATTCATTTTAGTCCTAAAACGATTTTAATTGATGGCATACTAAAGGCTTTAAATATGTGTATATAATATACAGGGTGTCCGCAAAGTTGGGGTTTTCCTTTACACGACGGGTAGATCTTGAATACATAAGCAATTTTTCTTAGTACCATATACACCAATGTCTTGAGGGAACCGAGATAAAGGGCTCTGCAACATCAAAAATATCTGAATACCGTCCTGTAGCCGCGACCCGCGACATCACCGAGTGGTACAAGGTCACTGGATCAACCCGACGACAGAACTGGGTCGGGGTCAGTGTGTCAGGTCAGTATGCAACCTTCAACCGACGGTTACGGTCGCGCGTGTAGAGGTAAACGAACCCGTATAATCGATTGCGTTTCAAAAAAAATAATACTGGCACTCTCATACACCAATAATGAACTCGTTGATATGTTGTTAATTTATGGCGAATGTCTTCAAAATGCTACAGAGGCTTCGCGAGTGTATGCAGATCGTTTCCCTAGACGACATCATCCAATTCCCCGCAGATTTGTGTACCTGGTCCAGAGAGTCAGGGATACGGGCCATTTGGAGGTGGGGACAGTGGGAGGCCTAGACAACCACGAATGGTGCAAGTTGAGGAAGAACTACTGAATCGCGTAAACGAGAATCCCTCAACAAGCACTAGAGACGTGGCTAGAGAAGTACAAGTATCAAAAACTAAAGTATGGCAAACTCTGCGTGAAGAGGGGCTGTATCCGTTTCACGTCCAACGTGTACAAGCCCTTCAACCTGACGATTTTCCACCAAGAGTGCGGTTTTGTGAGTGATTGTTGCATCAACATGACAATAATCCGGACTTTTTGAAGTGCATATTGGTGACAGACGAATCTACGTTCACGCGTAATGGGGTGAATAACTTTCGCAACACTCATGTTTGGTCAGTAGAAAATCCGCACGCTGTCCGTCGGGCACATTTTCAACAAACATTTTCGGTGAATGTTTGGGCTGGCATGGTGAACGGTATGCTCATTGGACCACTTATTCTCCCAAATCGATTGGACGGGATGCAATACCTAGACTTTTTACCCAACATTTTGCCTTCCTTGTTAGAAGATGTGCCATTAAGTGTAAGACAATCAATGTGGTTTCTGCACGATGGTGCACCGCCCCATTTTAGACGCGAAGTGCGTGAGTTTTTGAATGAATTATTTCCGAATAGGTGGATCGGACGTAATGGACCCGTAGCGTGGCCTCCGCGATCTCCAGACTTAACACCATGTGTTTTTTTTTTCTTTGGGGAGAAATGAAACACTTAGTGTACAAAACTGAAGTGCATACGGTTGACGAACTTCGTCTCAGAATTGAACAAGCTGGTGCTTTCATTCGGGGGAGGGACTCCATTCTCAAAGCCTGCACCGATGCTTGGCTACGTCGTACACGCACCTGTGTTTTTGAATCAAACGGCGATAACTTCGAACAATACCTATAAAGTACGTTTACCTAAAAACTGAAAACGCGGCAACGCCGTCATATTTGTTACCTCTATTCGTGGTCTGCACCACCGCCTGCGTCTGCTCGGTAGCGCATCAGCTGATTTCATTTTCTGTTGGAGCAGTATGATTTCGGGCAGAGACGTACTTAGTCCTTCTCGTCAACTGGAGAGTGAGTACTTTTTCCTTTATTTTTTTTTTTACTTGGTCGCCCTCGTTTCACTACACATTACCTTTGTTATTTCAAGGGTAGTTGTTTCTGAAAAGGACAACCCCAACTTTGCGGACACCCTGTATAACAGTTATAACACTAAAAAATGTATAAGCTATATGCTCTTAATAGATTATTTTCCTTAAGTCCAGATTTTTCATATTTAGTGGGTTGGTTCCTTTCTGCAAAAAGCCGTTCAATTGTGCTTGAAGAAAGTCACCGTTGGCATCGAAACGTTGCACAAAAAAGAGGAGATTAATTAAACATGTTAGTTTGATTGGGCCAGGCACACATGGGGATTATTAACGTGAAAACCACATGATAAGTTTCAGATGTTATATTATAAGCGTTTCATTTTTCTTTAAAATTGACGAATTCACGGAGTAGCCACATCTACACCGCTGTACTAGTTAAAATTCAAAAATGCAAACCCAATCCAGCACTCTCACTGGATTAACCGAATCACAAAAATGAGCCGAATGTCGAATACCCTATTGAGAGGGGAGACGCTAAGGCGCAAAGCAGTGTTGCCGAACCGAAAAAGACGAAATCAGTAGACAGTGTCGTTGAAATTCAAGGGCGAAAAGGGTAGAAGAGATCAATCAGGGGACTTGCGTCACGCAGCGCCCTCTTTGAAAAAAGTATATTTTTGTATGACGTGCACATACACAACATAGGTTTTTTGAGAGCACCTGTTCCTGAAAAAATCTTAAGTTCTTCATTATAACCTGTACAATGAGCATACTGCTCGCTCTTCACACTCTTTTGCAACCATCATTGACACTCCCTTTTGACATTCTTGTTTAAAATAAGATTCTGGATATTTTTCTGTTTCGCCTCTGAACTTAAAGCTTCATCACCTGACAATGTGACAATTTAATTTAATATTCAATTAAATACCGACAAGCTCTGCTTTCCTTATTGTTGTCCGGTGATAATGACGGTGATCTACCGGTCTGTACCTCTTGTACACCAAAATCAATATAGGGAAAGCGGAATGAGGGATGTGTGTATATAATTGGAGGCAATTGAAATCTTTGTCCCTCGCGTCCCCAACTGCCTAGGTGTACGCTTATGCATGACTGGTATGGGGCATAAAGCTAGATATAGACTATATCGAGTTAATTTTTTTAGCTTTTTGTTAGGTTCCAGTTCTTTTTCGTTAAAAATTCTGGAATTATACGAATTATTTTAGAAAATCGTGGATAATTAGGATGTTTTCGGTATTTCCGTAAATGTCCCATTTCGGTAGGAATACCGAAAAAATAGTAGGCCGGCACTGAGTCAGTAAAGGACCATAGGGACCCCCTGAGGGGTGCCGGCGTGTACAGAATACGGTGTTTCTATGGTAAAGTATACGTAGGCACCACTAAACGTAGCTTCCAAACACGCATCAAGGAGCATGAAAGAAACTGTCGAGTGGGACAAACTGATAAATCAGCGGTGATCGAATACGCACTCCAAGACGGCCACAATGTTCTATTCAAACAAACTGAAGTCCTATCGACATCCACCCACTATTTAGCCCGAGTGTACAGAGAAGCAACTGAAATCTAAAAACATAATAATAATTTCAATAGAAAAGAAGAAGGCCTTGCTTTAAACAAAACGTGGTTCCCAATTCTAAAAAACACAGCGCAAAAGCCACGTCACTCAAGAGGCCCAGAGTACCCCAACCAGACAACTCAGTCCGCCGATCGCCTATAAAACCGCACGCTCATCCAGTTAACCGATCAGTTTCAGTCGACCCGCCAAGCCGAGCACTTCGCTCTCGCCGACAGCGCCACTGAAGATGGCTACCGCAGATGTAGCAGAAAGCTCTAGACCAAATCCAACACGAGCATGGCTCGACAGCCCGAAAAACCTAAATTACATTAGAATTAGCCGTGAAAGCCTTTATTCTTCAAAACTATGAACACAAAATGACATTGAAACAAATTTTATTATGATTATGTTATTTATTTAATTTGTTGCTTGTCTGGTGATCTGACTGATCTATTAGTCTATACTTGCTGTACGCACAAAAAGCAATACACGGAAAGCGGAGTAAGGGATGTGCGTGTATAATTTTAGACGACTCAAATCTACGACCCTCGTGTGCCCGACTGTATACATATATATATATATATATATATGTTTATAACCATATTTTTCGGTACAAAATCTGGTAATATCTGAATTATTTTAAAAAATCTGGGAAAATGAGTACGTTTTCGGTATTTCGTCTTATTTCAGGAGATATACCGATTAATCGTTGTGTTCGGCAACGCTGGCTATGACGTATATTTGACAAAAAAATGGTAGGGATAAATTGGATAAATGCCAAATACATGTGACATGTTTTTGGTAAAGGCGGGAAAATTCTGTATGAAATGAAAATGTGATAAAGATTACAAGAAGAAAATACGTGTGAATGAAAAAAAAAATAATGTTTTTTTGTTTGATGTAGCCACCCCTTTCTCAAAAATAAGAGAGATCTTACAAAATGTGATATATACCCGACACCGAATGCGGAGCCTTACAACACAAAAATAATGGATTTTCTAGAGCAGCCTCACATAAAGAAAACATATGAGAAATGCAAGTATATTGTGAAGCTTTGGGAGCACAAGTTCAAGAAAAATCACAACAGACAACCGTCCAAAGTAAGAATGAACAATACACACACATTTATTTATAAACGTAAAGCTCCACATGGTTTACTACAACGTTTTGTCATCCATATGTCCCAAAATAAGTTGCATTCTTTCATATTCGTATATTAAGAACTAATATAGAATTATTTGACAAAGATATAAGACCATAAATTGTACCCTTTTTTATTATACCTTCTGAATGACACTATATTCATTTTAATAATGGAACATCCCTGATTCAGATACTCACCAGACCGACTATGTTTAATACATGATCTATTTTTTATGCATTGTTTTTATTAGCCTTATTCAGGTTTTACTACCCCAGACCTGATATGATCCTGTACAGTAGCTGCTTGTGATAGGTCAGAACTGTTGGGGTATTATGTAACGGGAAGAGTTGACATAATGTCATTTTTAACATTAATTAGTTTTTTTATAACATTTTGTAGGTATCGTTACAATATGTCACTTCATGCTCACTTTTAGCAGGTCTTGAATGAACTATTTGCATACTAGCAGCTACCTTGACAATAGGTTGATATTTTATTTTTTCAGATGATGTTTTTTATGTAATAACCCTGCCTTATTGCAGTCAGCTAGCAGAATCTAAATAGTTCTGGGATAGTTCTCTCTTTCTGAACAAAAGGCTTTTGACTATGATGCTAAACAGACATAAGGATACCATTAGAAATTGTTATTTGCTTATTAATTATATTAAATAGTACTATTTGCAATAATTCTTTCTAATATAGTGATATATTTATACTTTAGAGCATGAGACCAGAAAACAGATAATTTTCCTTTTCTCATGATATAAAAATAGCCTGAAATGTTCATTTTACAGCTTGACATCAAGGAAGCCAGCCTAGAAGTGCGAAATGCATACAGAAGGTATTTCCAACTTAAAGTTACAGCTTTAGAGCAGAGTTTCAAAGATGTTGAAGGGTTTGAAGAAGATGAGACTGCTGACAATGACAAATCACTATCTGACTGGTCAATGTGCTCAGTTGACACACCAGATAAACATACTGTACAAACTACACATACAGAAATAAATATTGGACATGCTGAAGAAGTTTCAGAAGAAGTATGGGGGGCACATCTGAATAACAAAAAGAAGGAAGAGAAAAAGCAATCACCAGAACCGAAACCAAGAACAAGCATCAATTTGACAAAAAAATTGTTTTGTGGAACAAAATTCACAAAGCGTAACCCTAGAAAATCTTTATCATTTTCACAAAAAAATAAATGTGACACAAAGGCTGATTCACAGACACACATTTCCTTATCGCAACCTGTACCAGTGATAGAACCATTGGGTTCTTTTGCCTCAGAAGAAGCAATATTTTCTAGTCAGAATGGATGTTCTTCCAATAAATCAAAGATATTTTCTCAGGACAGTTATCAAATTAAATCTCACAGTGATAGCATAGCAACACAGTCAATAAATATCATCCAAAGTTTGTTAGACAATAATGATTTGTCTAAGAATTTGAAAGCTGTTGATACTGGGTGGCTACAAAGGATTGCTAGGAATACTGGACTTGAGAGCTCAGGATTCAATTATCCAGATGGGTAAGAGCAGCTACTATATGTCCATTTATGAAAACTATACCTATACTTATCTAATGCATTATATTTTTGCTGGTAGGTTTATTTCTTTGTAAAATAGTACAAGGTCTAGGATGACCATATATCAGAAAGCCAGGACCAGGATGTCAATATTCATCTTTAAACTGAGCTCAACACAAGTTATTTGGGTCCAAATTATGCACTCATCACTTTTTAAACAAAAGCTGACTTTCAACTTTGCCACAAATATGTGAATCCATGATTATTAAATCAAAATCAAATTTTGGGTCTTCAAAAACAATTTGAACCTTAATAGAGAGTAACTTAGGGAAATTGTAGAAAATAAAAATATTTGAACCCCCAAAGTATGTTTTTGCATTGCCTTGAAATTTTCAGAATGTTCCTGAACATGCAAAATCGAAATTTGAATTTTTTAAAATTGTTGGTTCACAAAAACATTCTTTGATATTTTCTAAAATTATTACTTGTTTTGAGTTATTTTACTTATTTGGTAATGTAATTTTTTTCTTATCCCATATTTGGTTGAAATTTCAGGAATCAAATTAGTGAGGCAAAGACAGAACCAACAAAAGTTGATTATGATAGCGAAGATATTATTGAAGAATCAGATGAAGAAAGTAATAATTATGAAATTAAAACTTTACATGTAGCGAAAAAAAGACGACTTGAAAGTATTTCTGGAGTAGAGAAAATAGCATCAAATCACCAACCACATGATAATGAAAAAATTCAAATCAGCTGTTTAGAAGATGTCAGTATTCCTGAAAGTAGTGTGAATATAAGTAAGAATGTTGAATCCTCCACAACTGAAAGGGTAGACACTACTGATACAGAGGTTGATCATGTAGACTTTAGAAATATTGAAGCAGAAATAAGGTCTGTGGCAGAATTAAAAGATGTAGTGGCACCAATATTAGAAAATCAAAATGATCCTGTTATAGAAAATAATGCTATCAGGCAGTCGGATGGCACTCGTTATGTAGCCAACATAGGAAAACGCAGAGGCAGGAGGCCTAAAAATAAAAATACTTCTGAATTTGATGACATAGAGACAAACATTGCGAATCAACCTGACATTCGCAATAAAAAAACAACAAAAAGCGTAAAAAAGGGATTAAAAGCAAAACCTAAAAAAACCGATAACGACGAGAAAGAGGACAAAACTATTTCACCAGTAAGAGTGTCCTCTCGAAGGTCAAAGGTCAAAGTTAGTATGAGAGAATTTTCTACAGATGAAGAAGATGCTTTTCACACAGATACAGATGACAAAGATCCAGAATTCAGTCTTGAACCACATAAAAATAGGTTGACAGATATTAGTTTTGAAGAGCATGATGACATTGCAGAAGATAAAGAGGTAAAGAAGAAAAAAAGAGGGCGTACTACATTGGGCGAATCAAAGACTAAGAAAAAAAGATCTCCAATGAGGAAAAGAATAGAAAAGCAAAATGTTGATAGTAAGGAAGATACAGAAAATCAACCTTATGAGTTAGAGTTTTCTGTGAAGCCAAGAATTGTCGCACCTCGATATAGCAATTTGAAGAAGGTCCTTGATGAAAGAAAAATATCAGCCAAAGCAAAAACTGAGAAAGATAAAACAACAGATCAGTCTGATAACACTGCTGGTACATCACTTATCAAGACCAAACAGCAACAAGCTAAAGAAAAGTTTGAGAAGAAGATCGCGTCAGGCAATCTGAATGAAAATTATGTGAAGATCGACATAAAGAAGAAGGTATTTGTACGAGGAAAGAATGGAAAAAGCTTCAGTAAATTCAAGAAAAGCCAATGGAGGAAAAATAAAGCCAAATCTCTACTGGACATGGGTGGTTGTGATGGTGGTATGTTAGCCTGTTTCAATTGTGGCCAATTGGGCCACTTTGCGAGGAATTGCAAGATGACCAAAGGGGATGGTTTGTTGCCTCTTCAAGCTGTGGAAGGAGAGCAGGAGGAGTGTTGTCCATTCCCGACATTGGAAGAGGCTGCTAAGATGGCCAAAGAGGGGCCTTTGGCAGTGAGACAACCAAAACTTCAGGTGAGGCTGCAATACTTTCGATTGGAATCATCTGATGTTACCGGTAGTAAAGATTTTCTTCATTTATTTTATTTGCAAAAATTGTATTATCAATATTTTCATTGTGAATTGTGAATTCGTTTTTTTTTTAGTTTTATGTTTCAGTTCAATGGTCAAGGAATTATTCGACAAATCTGAGGGGTTAGATTAGAATACAGAAGTGAGGAGTTGGCCTGCCAGCCTTAACATCACTGAGAAACAAGTGGATCTATTGTGACCCCCTACAAAATTTCTAAAGCACTGTGACCAGCCTTGATCCTTTGATCAGATTCCATAGCTGTGACACAGGGCCTTGCTTGTGGCTTTCTGCTGTTGGACCTGTGGTTCCTACTGTCTGAAACCGTAGCTTTACCAGGTATTGACAGTGACACAGGAGATGCACTGGGGTTTCGTCATGCTATCGCGTACCAGTAGCTTTTGGCATGTATACGCGGGCATTACGAATATAGGATCTGCGTTCAACTCCGTATACAATCTTTGATGATCTTTTCCGTGCTGCCGACTGATGGGTGATTGGCATTGAGTTAGTCTGTGAGCCATGGAAAGGGCATTACCCTGAATAAATATGTGTAATGTTGGTAGGTTGAGGACCTCCAACGCTGCAGTGGGAGTGGTATTCATCTGAGGGGCTTAAGTCTGGAGATCATAAGTGAAGATCCTTGAAAGTTGAACTATTTTTTTAAAGTAGCTTTTTAAAAATCATATATTTAGAAAATACCACAGAATCTGGAATCTATAAAAACATTATAGGTACCAAATGGTGGAGAGGAAGAACATATTGACATTGACAATGAGAATGATGATCAAGCTGAAGATGAAGATGACATTTTTGCTGATGATGAGTTTGGCACAGACCAGTTAATAGAAGAAACCTTGAAATTGGAGCAGTATATGAAGAAACTGGATGTTCAGATGTACATGGATACTGTGAAAACTGTAGAACCTTATTACAAATTGAAAGATGATGGTAGCACCATAGGTATGAACTTTTTGAAATTAGTCTGTAATATCGCCAATCTCTGGTTTTTCATTGTACAGTTTTAAATGGCCAGCGTAAGCAAGTTATAAAATTTGTGCCGAGTGGAAAAAGTTTCACGTGCCACGTACCTTGCGACCGTTGAATTTCTTTGCAATGCAAAAATTAAACCTCTTTTCAATTAACTTAGCTACAAGAATTATTGAGCTTTTTCCCACACCAAATCATTTGAAATAGAAGCTCAGTATTGCTACTGTCAGTTCTAAGTACGAATTTAATATTAAATCCTTATTACAGTCGTTTGAGAGCAGATTTCAGTACCTTAACATTAAAAAACAACATATACAAATTTTTATGAATCATTTCATAATCAGCTTAATTGAAATAATTGGTTATCCTGCAAATATTTAGTTGGAACATATTGAATCATTATGCGCCAACAAAATTGTTTGCCGAAAAAGTGTATTCGAAACAAAAGACGAATTTCTGGCAATAACTGGCTTAGCGTTACAGTTCTTAAGTAGTTTCGGATTAACAAGCATATGTTGGTGAAAACTTTTTTCAAACCTTAATTATGTAAAAATAGATAACTCACATCATTAACTGAGCAACATATTTGTGACTTGTTACTGTCAACATCGGATTTGATGCCAGATGCCAGAAAAAATATTACAACAGAAACAATGTCAGAAGTCGCATTGTTTGTATCACGTTACCTATATTAGATTTGGATTTAAGATACTTTACAATTTACAATTTTATTTACTTAGCATAAGTTGCTCTTTGTTTTATTATTTAATATAAAAGTAGTTACATAAGTGGAATTTTTATCGCACAATTTCTAAGAGTAACTACAATAGAAATTTCCAGTGGCTTTCGGAAAATGTGAGAATCCTACCTTAAGCGATTATTTGTTTGTTTGTTTTAGATCTACTTAGCATTAATGCTACAATTCCATGTTACACAGTATATCACATAAGTCTTCAAGACTACATATTTTTATACAAAATTTCACTACTGTGAATTCTGGTTTTCCATAAGATATTTTTTCAATTTCTCCTTGAACATTTTCAAACTGACACACATTTTTATTCAAGATGATTCTCATAGTTTTGTTTTGCGATATTTGTAATTTTGAAAATACAGTTTCGATCGCAGTGAACGAAATAGTCGAACAGTATAACAAATGAGGAAGAATGATAGTGTTGTACACAATTTTTTTAGAATAAACGCTTAGGCTATGCGAAATGCTATAAAAGTAATTTATTTCATTACCAATTTCTCCCTGTTAATAGTCTCAAATGCCCTCTTGAAATCCAAAAACAATGTTACTGTAAACTTTTTTTCATTCATATATCGCCTTCATTCTTCTACTACCATTTGAATTGCTGTTTCAGTAGAATACTTTTTTCTGAATCCTGCTTGAAATTTTGTGAATATCTTGTTTTCTTCAATATATTCAATGACTTGTTCACATATGATTCCTTCTAAGAGCTTCTCGACATCTGGCAGTAGATTAATTGCCCGCATGTTTGTATATAACTCAGAATTTTGCTCTTTTGGAACAGGAGTAATTGTAGAACATTTTAACTTCGAAGCAAATTCGCCATACACTAAACTGTGATTCACTAACAATAATAACTTCTCTCCAATAATGTTGAAACATTCTTTCAGACTTTTTTATATATAGTAATTCTTTAAATATTTTTATTTTAGATACTCCATTGGAAGTCTACGAAGCTCTAGAAAAATTCGGGCATACTTCGTTCCGTCCTGGTCAAGAAAAAGCTATAATGCGAATACTATCCGGAAAATCGACGTTGGTCACTTTGAGTACAGGGTCAGGAAAAAGTTTATGCTACCAGCTGCCAGCATATCTGTACTCCAAAAGAGAACCATGTATTTCGTTGATCATTTCACCTTTGGTATCGCTTATGGATGATCAAATAACAGGTTAGTCTTTTTAATTTGTATTAGAAACAGTTTTGTAAATTGTTTATATTTTCTAGGAATTGCAAAGTTTTTGAAAGCAGGCTGTCTACATTCTAACCAGACCAAGTCGCAAAGGGAGAAAATTTTGGAAGCAATATCTTTGGGTGAATTGAGTGTTTTGTTGGTGTCACCCGAGGCTGTAGTTGCTGGAGAAAAGAAATCAGGTAAGCTGACTAGAATAAATTTAAATTTTAGGTACATGATTCAGTGATCAGTGAAGGATTAGAGTTAGTTAGATATTTTCAAAATGACCGATCTTTCCAAAAGAAAAAAGTATTATATAGTATAAGTATTTAATTATCTGAACAATACAATCATTCTTGATGACAGAGCTAACTTTAAACTATAATATAATTATATAAGTGGTTCTTAAGTAGGTGAATTGTAGAATTGTAGAACAAGGTATAATATGGTTTACATATTAAAAAGTTTTTGACTTCACCTTGGAATACCCTGAAATTGTTAATTCCTTTGATAGCATCAGGGAAACACATGTAAATTTTCAGACCATTATAAATTATTGAGTCTTTCACAAGTGTTGTTTTAGGTACTACTAATTTGAGATCTTGTTTTTGTCTAATATTGTAACATAAAGACGATTTATTATTATTATTATTATTATTATGTTTGTTTCAAATTTAGGTTTATTTTTAAAAATGAACAATGATTCAATAGTCATTATTTTAAGATTTACAAATAAAGAGTTGCATATAGCTCTAGTTATATATCTAAATAGTTCTTTTTTGTAGAATAAGCACCTTTTTAAGCAATTTTGGGAACAGAAACACCAACAGAGGGAATGGTATATCTCTATCTACTTTCAAATAAGTAACTGCTTTAGACTGTGCTTTTCCCTACGCTGTAACTAATTGTTTTTATAATGAAGGAGTTGAGTAACTAATTTGTCTACATGGTTAGTAAAATCTAATTTGGACAGTCCCAAAAATTTGATGGTGTCTGTTTGGTGTGTCAATTCATTATTTAAATTCATAAAATCAAGGGAGCATTCAATTGTCATATATTTTGTCTTATTCCTATTGAAAGTCAAGTAATTGTTGTCACACCATTTTTTGATTGATTGTATATCACTATTAATTTTTGTCTTAATTTTATTTATATCTTTGTCTTGCCAAAGTATTGTGTTACTGTCAGCAAAAACTACGAATTTACCATTTATGTTTAAGTGTAATAAATCGTTGATATATGCTAAGAATATGATCGGACCTGATACTGATCCTTGAGGTACCCCTGGCCTTATATTTAATATATTTGAAATATAATGTCTTGATATACAATATACTTATGATCGTTCATGAGTATACATCACACCGACTACCGGGTTGATGTTAGTTTAAATTTCTAGGGTTGAACATCTGTGAAAATTTTTTGAGTCTCTACTTTGTTATGTGAAGTGTGTATGTGCGTGAATTATTGAATAGTTCAGCTGTTTTCGAACCTGTAGCACCTTGCAGGATTCTTTTTCCTTATAACCTGTGCGGTAAGACTCTTAATCGCCTAACACGTAGATTCAGTTTTGCACATGTATTTTTGTACTTAGCTGAGCAAAAAACACATTCTTCATTTGTTTTCCTAACAGATAGTCCAGGTATATTAGGTCCATGCAATTGTCATGGCACCTGATGTAGATGTCTGTAACTTCTGCGAGGACAATTTCATTGTTAAAACCAAACTTGTCAAATGCAGTTTATGTAGCGGTAAATTCCACTGCCATTGTGTTTCCTTTAAAGATGCTTGGCTTAAAATATTTTCAGATTGTGATAACATCCACTGGGTATGCAGCGATTGCAAAATTGTAATGCAATCAAAAGCGTCTCTTACTAGAATCAGTATTGAATCTATGCAGAGGGAAATTGATCAATTGAATCGTGAAATTAGTATAACTAAGAACCATCTTGATGACTTGCAGTACACAATGTCCCTTCAAAAATCTGTGATTGAGTCTCATGAGAAGATTTCTTCGCCTTCTGTTAGCACTGACCAATCCGCTATCATTCCTGGACCGAGCAAGTACAGCGATGTAGTGAAGAGAACTAAAGTAATTTCTTCGACTCTCCTGATTAAGGCTGATAACGAGGCAGATGTGAACTCAATTTTCAGTGAAGTAAAGTCTTCTGTTAATCCAGCGAGCCTTAATGTTTGCATCAACAATACTCGAAAAATTCGTAATGGTATTGCTGTGGACTGCAAAGATGGCAGTTCCCTGAGCACACTGAAAGATAAACTTTGCAATAAATTGGGTTCTAAAAATTCAATATCTGAAGCTAAGAAGCTGAATCCACGTCTGCTTATAAGAAACATTAATTTGGATGGTCTTGACAATCCTGATGATTTGATTTCGAACATAGCTTCTCTCAACAACATTGATGGTTCTCTACTTAAGTTTGTCACTAAGCTCAAATCCTCCCGCGGAATCAACATCGTAATTGAAATCACTCCTACTCTAAGATCGGAATTATTAAGGACAGGGTTTTTATATTATATTGGCTGGAAAAAGTCACCTTTCGCATATTAAAGTGTTTCAAGTGCTGTCCGTTTGGTCATTCTGAAGCATCCTGTAAAGCTGATCTGTCCTGCTCAAGGTGTACGCGAAATCATAAAATCAAGGAGTGTAACTCGAGCGCCCTACAATGCGTAAATTGCCTGAACTATAACAAGGTATACAAGAAGATTCTACCAGTTGATCATTCGGCTAATTTTCCAAACTGTCCTGTGTTTCTCAATTATGTTCAAACTCTAAAAGAAAGGGTGAATTATGGCTAACACTATAAAAAGTGTCTTGAAACTATGTCACTTAAATGTGCGTTCTCTAACAGCTCACTTTAATGATTTTGCGTCTCTTGTTCAATATAAGTTTGATGTTGTAGCAGTCACTGAAACATGGCTGCATTCCAGTATTGACAGCACTGTAGTCAATATACTTGGGTATAATTTCTTCCGTAAGGACCGTGGGAGCAGAGGGGGTGGCATCGGTCTCTATGTTAAATTAGAAATTAGCACTAATCTTATCCCAGTTGAGCTCGATGACTTTATAAATCCTCTTGAAATGTTATGCTATAAATTTAAACTGCACGGGTCCAGTATGTTAATTGTTGTTATATATAGGCCACCACATTGCTCTATACATCAAGCCATCCAGTGTTTAGAAAATCTTATCTCATTTTTCACTCCCCAATATGACAACATTATATTCTTGGGCGATATGAATGTCGACTTGCTTGCTCATAACAACCTCCTCAGCAGCTGCTTTGATTCATTCAATTTCAATCAAGTCATTGATGAGCCTACACGTGTTACAGCCTTCAGTTCCACATTACTTGATCCAATATTTGTTAGTGACAATACTATCGTCAAAAGGTCAGGGACACTCAATGCAGACTCTATTAGTGATAATCGGCTCACATACTGTGATATTTCCGTTTGTTATAAAAAAATAGAGCCTAAATTTGTAACATATAGAAATCTTAATAGCATTGATATTCTAAGTTTTAAGACGCAGATTGCATCAATGCAGCTTAATGACATTTATTTCGTGAATGATGTGGATATTAAAGTCTCTATTTTTACTGGCCGTCTTCTTTATCTATTCGATCTCTACGCTCCGCTACGCACAGTACGTGTCACAAAACCTGCTGCGCCCTGGCTCACTCCTAACTTGAAAATGATTTTTCAACTCAGAGATGAGGCATTCGCTGTCTATCAGCATAACAGATCTGATCAGAATTGGGCCAGCTACAAAGATTTGAGAAATTATGCCCTTGCATCGCTTAGAAGAGAGAAAAAAGCATATATGTCACGTTTCCGGAATCTTAACTCTAGTCAAGCTTGGAAACACCTGAGGAGGATGAATGTGGTAGCCCAGAAACATGTTGCGATACCTCCCAGTCTCCTTGAGCCTAACATTTTAAATAATTATTTTCTTTTAATTTTCCAGACAGCTGCAGCTGATCCAAATTTGATTGATAGTGTCTCTAACTCTTATAGCGATAGACGCCATACACCGGATGCACCTCTGTTTGCTTTTAAACTCCTTACTCAGCAAGACATCGTCAATATAATCTCTCACATTAAGTCTACGGCATGTGGCTCTGATGGTCTAACTTTAAATATGGTTTGCTTATGTTTGCCTGATACCATAGACCATATAACTCACATTATTAATGTCTGTCTCGAAACAGGTTACTTTCCTGCCAGTTGGAAAAATGGAATTATTATTCCAATAGCTAAAACTAATCATCCAGAACAATATTCGGATCTCAGGCCAATTACCTTATTATGCTTTCTATCAAAAATACTCGAAAGAGCTGTCTACTCACAACTAGTGGAGTTTTTTGAACAAAATCACTTATTTCCTCTACATCAGTCAGGTTTCAGAGCTGGTTACAGCACTACTTCGTCTTTATTACATCTTACTGATTCCATCATTCACAATTTAGACAATCACATCAACACCGTCTTGGTACTGTTAGATTTCTCGAAAGCCTTTGATATGGTCAATCACCAGATACTCCTGAGTAAGTTATCTCATTATGGAATGTCAGATATAGTTCTAAGGTTCTTTGAGTCATACTTGCTAAATCGTCAACAAACAGTGAAAACTGATCAGGGAATTTCCTCCTCTGAGCCAGTTCCTTCAGGAGTTCCTCAGTATTAGGTCCCTTACTATATCTGATTTATACGATTGATCTGCAAGACTGTTTAGTCCACTGTAGTATGCAAACTTATGCAGATGCTACTCAGTTAGTGTTTGGTTTCGATCCATCAAAGGTTGATGAAGTTTCTTTTAAAGTTAATTTAGATTTGGCTAACATCGGTGATTACTGTAACAAACACTGCTTGAAGATCAATCCCAATAAAACTACTGCAATATTGTACTGTTCGAAGAACTCCTACCGTGAAATGAAGCAAAGGATTTGTGTTTTTTTGGATGAGACACTCATCCCTTTTGTGGATTACGCCAAGAATCTCGGTGTTACCCTTGATTTAAATATGAGATTCGATCGGCATGTCTCTTTCTTATCTAGAGTAACATATTTGCGTTTGAAACTCCTCTATTCCAATCGATACATCTTGAATTTTAAAACCCGAAAAAAGGTCGCTGAAAGTCTTGTGTTGTCTGTCATTTCTTACTCTCTTGTTCTGTATTACCCATGTTTAGACTACGCCCACAAAAGGAAACTTCAGAAAATTCAGAACAGCTGTTGTAGGTTTATTTTTGGATTGCGCAAGTTTAGTCGCGTCTCAGATAAAATCAAAGAACTCAACTGGTTGCGAATTGATAAGTTATTTTTATATCTTTTGACCGTCTTCACGCATAAAGTTCTACTATCTAACAGACCAGCTTACCTCGCTAGCAAATTAGTTCACCGAGGTAGTTTTGTTACCAGAGCTCTTAGATTTAATGCTAATTTTAACATGCCTCCTCACAATACCTCGATCTTTGAAAGAAGTTACACCTATAATGCTGTCAAGCATTACAATGCAGTCAACAGTAGCTATCGATCCAAACAGGTTTAAGAAATTAATGAAAAGTCAGCTGCTGGAGTCCATTTAGTTCAGTTTTTCTTGTGCTCATGTTGTTTTTTTTTAATTTTTTTTTTGTTTGACTATTTTCTACTATTTTTGTTTCAAATTTAAAACTCTTGCAATACTATCTGTATTTGTCTTGTGCAATCAATGTTGTCATTCTTATGAATTGTATATTTTTTTTTTGTTGTATGTTATCATTTTGCTTATGTGTTTAAGTATTATTTTTTCCTGTTGTGGAGTTGAGTGTAAGAGTAGCCGTCTGGCTAAACTTCGCCTCACTGCAGTTAATAAAGGCATTATTATTATTATTATTATAATTTTACAATTTTAGACCGATTATTTAAATATGTTTCAAATCAATTTAGTGAAGTCCCAGTACGACCATGTTTGTTTAACTTATTGAATAGTACATATATCATCATTTGCACGATCAAAAGCTTTGGAAAAGTCGCAACAAGGCTATTGAAATTTGTTTATCATGCAAATTTGAGAATAACTGTTAGAGTAATGTGTGTTTTTGAAATCCAAATTGGTTGTCACTTATAAATCTGATTGGTTCTTAGAAAGTCTCTTAAACTAATTTGGACTTTTTTTTCTATTATTTTTGCGTCTGTTATTTATGGGTCTATAACTTTCCTGTAAATCGATTGGACCTCATTATTTATCCCCATAAAATTAGACCTAACTTATGCAGACTAAGCAAGTTGTTTTTGTTTGAGGTTTTCGGGGTTTAATACACAGTTTAGTCCACACGTTTTGTATTTTACCCAGATCACGTACATAAGCATGGGCGCTTGGATATGCAATGAATATTTCACTCTGCTTACAATGTTGCCTCGTCAAACAGTTACAAAATAAAAACAAGTAGGCCACAACAGAAGTATCAAAGCAGACCAGAGGTTATTGCTGTGAATTTGTACAATAAACTCCCTCTGCAGAATATACTTATGAAGAAGGTAGCATGTCAAAAAATGTCTCGTACAACTTGTCCCTCATAGATGTCTAATGTGCTGTTTGTTGTAAAATGTTGTAATGTTATGTAGATGTTAAATTGTGATTACTGTGATTACACTTTTGGGAGTTGTTACAAATTTTAAAATGGTTTTTATTGACATGTGCATTTACATAGTGTCATTGTATTTTAAATGAATGAATGATTTGATTTTATCATCGCAAAGTGGAAAAGCATTGAAAAACAATGTTTGGAGGAAACGATTTTCAAAACCTAGAAACCTTTTTGATCCATGGCACAAGATACATTTTGAAACAAATTCATGAGTTGTATAGAGATATAGGATTTCCCGACACGTCTTACGACAGATTAGTATCAGAAGAAAATGAGTCACATGTTTGTTCGTAATGCAGACATATTTTGGCAATCATAAATAAGGTATATGTTAATGTTAACCCTTATATAAATCATTCACATAAGTGAAAGGAAGGCGAACGTTAACGCTTACATATGCCGATTTTGTGTTTGACAAAACTCTATTATCTCGATCTCGAAATGTTACGCAATTGGTATGGGAAGTAAAAGTGAGAATTTTGTATGGAACACTGGAGTATTTCTGACCAAATAATCGGATGCGTGAAAAAGTTGGAGGAGAAAAGATGGCAGCAAGTATATTGACTCAGTACAAAGAGATCTACGAGATTTTATTGATAGCTTTTCTTTTATTTGTTTCTAAATTATTTATTTCTTCTCGACAAAAAACTTCCACACTATAAACGCTGCTTCCAATTAAATAGTATTTTAAGTGATTCTTAAATGTCTTTAGATTATGGCAATTCTTTATTTCGAAAGGCAGTAGGTTAACATTTTTTGGGCTATTAATGTTTGGGGACTTACACATAATTTGAGTTCTATAGGGTGGTGTATAGAAGTCTTCACTAATTCTCGTATTAATTCAATGCATTTGGCCGTGAGTTCGGAATTTTTCTCTATTTTTGAATATATATAAACAAGCTTCCAATATATATAAACCAGTAAGTGTTAGTAGCTTGAACATCTTAAACAGATTTCTACATTATGTTCTAGCACTAATACCTGCTATACTCTAAAAACCAAATTTGTCTGACGGCTTGAGTTCAATGTATACGAGAGAGAAGTGTGTATAGATACATATGTTAGAAAGAGAAAGAAGCCGCCTAGATAGCGAGGCTCATCACCGCGTTGCCTAGCAACGCTGACACGGTAATATGCCGCGCTGCCAATATGTTACACCAGTTCCTTGAGTTAAGATTCATATTGAAAATATGCAGTTTATTGTTTACGCCCAAATAATGAGTTTATTTTGAGCGTACACATTTCTCAGTTGTGAATTGTGTCGATTCTGTTTGGGATTAATTCCCGATCGATCCTAACGGCGCTCCATTTTAGTTCGAAATTAAAGGTCAGGATTGCCACAAATACGTAGGGATTTTGGTAACGACCCATCTAGCCACTCGTAGGGGTGTGCATCCTGCTTCGAAATGGCTTTCCCTTTCGTACACGCAGGCAGTGATAATTTGTATTGCGTAACGTTATTTGTTGCATTTTCTAACCGCAGCGCTGTCGCAAAAAGTAACAATAATTCAGGATGTATTGATTTTATCACCTTCGGTGGAAATCAAAGATAATTCTAAAAGAAGTCGCATCAAAATTGAAATGAATAATTCTAATCAATGTGAAAACAACATATTAAATTAAATTCAAACAGTACCTACTTCTTGGGTTTGACAGTAACCTAACCTATTGTAACTGAGTATGCGACAATTTTCTGATGTAACATATTGGCAAAGCGGCAGATTGCACGACCTTCTGCGTCACCGTTGCTAGGCGATGTGGTGATGTCCTTCGCTCTTCAGCCGGCTTCTATCTCTTTCTAACATGTTCACACTTGTCGCGCTTCTCTCTCGTACACATTAAACTCAAGCCGTCAGACAAGTTTGGTTTTTCCTGTATATCTGATAATTCTTTCTGTTTTATGAACACATCCCTTAAATCGGTAGAGCTCCCCCGAAATGAGATGCCATATCTTATGACAGTGTCAACCTGTGAATGATACAAACTAAATAATTGATTAAATTAAATTAAGCCCTGTTATTACATAATCACAGTGCTGCTTCCACTCCATACAGGAATCCAAATACACACCAAGGAATTTTATATATATTTAACATTATTGATATTAATATTTCAATCATTTCAAAACTTAGTGTATTGCAATTTGTGTGCGTTGTGTAAAATATAATACATTGTGTCTTGTTTAGATTTAAATATAAATTATTATTTGTAAACTAGCTATGCAGCCTAGACAGTGAAACAGCTATATAGTCATGTAACACTTTCTCAAAAGAACCAGAAACTACAATTGCGGTATCATCTGCGAATTAGGTTTTTAATGCATCAGGTACAACATTAGGTGTTGACTCTCCTAGCATATAGGTACCATCCGAGAAAATATAAAAAAGCAGTGACGTTGATTGTTCGTATTCTTTTAGGCTTTGGTTCGTTCCTGCGTAAGCTCCCTCCAATAGCTTTCGCCTGCATCGACGAGGTCCACTGCGTCTCTCAGTGGTCCCACAACTTCCGGCCCAGTTACCTCATGATCTGTCATGTTCTAAGAGAGAACCTCGGCGTTAAGACCATACTTGGCTTGACAGCTACGGCGACGAGGGCCACAAGGGACAGCATTATCGAACACCTGCAGATACCAGATGGACATGATGGAGTTATAGGCGATGTCCCATTGCCAGAAAATCTGGTGTTGACTGTTTCCAGGGATGGGAATAGGGACCAGGCGTTGTTGGGCTTGTTGACCTCCGAGAGGTAGATGCAAATTTCTTCATGTTTCAAAGGAATCTGGATGACTGATTTTAGTCTTTGTTTTGCCATTTATTAATGTCTACCTGAAGATAACCTACTATATACCTTGTTAAAGTGCAATCTGTGAAAGACTGGTAGAACAAAAAAAGGAATTGAAAAATCTAATTTGAAAAGGGTTAGAGTTGATTATGTTACTGTCTCTTAAATGGCGCAAGGATCTTCCATTCCTTTTGGCATCTCCAAACACTATTGTAACTAGGTATCTTCACTAACTGTTTCCCAAGTAGATCCTGAAATGCATTTTTGTGTTCTGCTACTGTCTCATTGATGGCGCTACTATATACCAGATCCCTTTTTGGGCGCGTTTTTTTCTGCATAAAAATTCCAGTCCACAGCTTCGCTAGTTTATATGTATTTGTTCTACTGACTTTTATGCGTCAAATTCGAAAATAACACTTTTGTATTATGTTGTATATGTATTACATCAAGGATCTTGAGATTGCAGCCACAACGCAGGAAGGAATTAGGCCAGAAAGAAAGTTTGTTTGTTCATAGTCATACTCTCCAAAATTTTAATTTTTTTCTTTAGGACGTGTTTTAAAAATAATTGTTTGCCAATTTTTCAAATACAATTTCATTGAAAAAATATCTTACAGTGTTGTAATGGTCTTCCGAAACGTGCAATTTAAAAAACGGGGAAAAGCCATTAAACATTCTGTTTTCTTTATCCAAGTTCTTATGTATTCAAGGTAGTTTTCGCATATGTCTTTCAGTAAAGTGTTCTACTGGTCAATATTTTAAAATGTGATCTGTCCATTTTATGATGTTCAATTCATTTTTTGAATTGCTTGTCTTGAAACAAGACTTCAACGTTATAAGTTAATTTCTTTGTGGCGGCAACACTAAGGTCCTTGAAGTTTTATTTTAACTAGCCAGTTAAGAGACTCCTCTTCCTCCTCTCTCAATTCACATTAACACATCAAACTATTTTTTCTAGGTTCTCCGACTGCAAAAGCATCATAGTCTACTGCACCCGTCGTGAGGAGTGCGAGCGTGTCTCCTCCTTCCTTCGCACCGCTCTCCAATCGGACCGCCCCCTGCCCACCGATCCGTCCACTAATAAGAAACGCAAACGCTTCAATATACAGGCGGAGCCGTACCACGCTGGCCTATCCGCTAGCAGGAGGCGGAGCATTCAGAACGCTTTCATGTCTGGGGAATTGAAGATTGTTGTGGCCACTGTGGCGTTCGGAATGGGTATTAATAAGGCTGATATTAGGGCGGTGATACACTTTAATATGCCCAGTAGTTTCGAGAGTTATGTGCAGGAGGTGGGCAGGGCGGGGAGAGATGGTCTACCGGCGCAGTGTCATGTTTTTTTAGATCCTCTCGTAAGTAGCTCCTGATGTATCCATTTAACTTTTTGCGGCCCAGTGATCTGCTGGGATGACCAATTCTTAGTGAAATTACCTGGCTCATGGTGGTATACGATAATTCCTTGTTGCTTTTAAATTAGGCTTTTTATTATCAATTAAACTATTATAGCAAACATCTCGTGGAAGCACCAGGTATCGTCACACGCACCATAATGGAAACGTTAAACTTCCGATGTGAGTAATTGTATCAAGCATAACAAAGGATGTTTTGCTAAATTCTATCAAACAATGGGACGTTTTAGCAGCTCACTCATCTTACGCTAACAACGCTTTCATTTTTATCTCGGTGTAATATATTTATAAAGAAAGGGTTTTCCATTAAGTACTTGACAACTTTCTTTTTAAATAAAACGCAAACCATTTGAGTTATCTGAAAAATGTTATTATTGGATTGAAGTATACTCAAAACATGTATGTATGGAATTCGATCTCGTTCATATGTCCAACATGGGCACGTTCGCAGCGATCGATTCGTTGAACACAATTTTGAATGACTCGGCCACACATTTCGACAGACAGGGCCGCTATCTCTCGTTCAATATTGGCTCTGAGCTCCTCTAACGACGACGGCTTGTTGACATAGACCAATGATTCAATTTAGCCCCACAAAAAAAAAGTGTAGAGGTGTTAAATCACACGATTTAGGCGGCCATTCGACAGGACCATTTCTCGATATAACACGTTAACCGAATTTTGATTTCAATATGTCGATTGTTTCCCCCGCTGTGTGGCTTGTGGCACCGTCTTGTTGAAACCACATATCATTAATGTCTAGCCCATCCAATTGACCAAAAAAATAACGTTGCAACATATCTCTGTAGCGATCGCCGTTGACTGTAACGTGACGGTCATTTTCATCAACCAAAAAAAAAAAAAACGGCCCAATGATACAACCGGCATGAAAACCACACCATACAGTTATTTTTTTGTGAATGCTGTTTTTTGAAGTACATGAGGGTTTTACCAGACCAATAACGTATATTCTGTTTGTTGACGAAGCCGTTTAGTCATCATCAATCATTGAAGATGATTTTGTGATTAAATTGGTCATTTTCTTGCAACATTTCTAGAGCCCAATTCGAGAACGTACGTCGGTTCACATGATCAAACGGCTTTAGTTCTTGAGGTAACTTGATCTTATAAGCGTGCAGGCCAAGATCTCTTCACCATAGTGTGGTCTGAGCGATGCCCAATTCTTGAGAACGCCGTGGAATCGACGCGTTCTGTTCGTTTGCGACGAAAGCTTGAATGGCAGCAATATTCTCAGCACATCGACAACTCGTTGTCCGGAACATCCAGCAGCGAAATATGTGAACTCAAATTTTTTTACTAGACTATGAATTGCTTGTCTAATAGGATGAGAATTACGACATTGACAATTCGGCAATTGATTTTTAAAGGTGCGTTCAGAGGGAAAGTTCAAAGTTTTCAAGTACCTATTGGAAAACCCGATAGTTCAAGAATGATAACCTTTATTTTCGCTTATATTGCTATAACTGGGACATCGTAGGGTAGACGGCAGGACCAGCTCTTTCTAACCTGGTCAGGATATGTTAATTAACGATGATGCCTGTCTGTATAATGTCTGATTTGTATGATATGGCGAAGCGCGGGATAAAGAGTCAAGTTATCTCTTCTTTAGACAGGCATCATTAAGACAATGTTGCCCTTTCTACTATCTATGATGGCTGGTTGTGTAATACTGGTGATTACATTTGGAGGGTCACTTTATATTCACTAATAATTATTATTATGTACAAACGTGAATGTCTGTCAGCATTACATCTGAACTGCAATACGGAGGGGCGTAAAAATTTGTACACCTACTATTTGATACCCGAGGAAGTCTATAGGCATGCTTTTATCCGCGAACTCATTGTCGATTGCGCAATAAACTGTCGGGGCAAGTATCATAATCTCCACAGTAAACATCAAGCCGGCAACAGCGCAGCCTGCCATCGCCCCACTCAACCTGTAACCGCCAGGCGATACAAACGTTTAATTTTCTCTAGCTGTTACCCGCGACTTCGTATACTTGAAACCATCACTAACATATAGCACTGTTGTTAAGCTATGCTATAAACTTCCGACCACGTTTTGTACCTGTATACATGATGTGTGACTGTATGCATGTTTGGGAAATTTGGCTACTTTATTACTGGCGCCACCTGCACGTTGCGCGGGTAAAACCGCCGGTCAGACAGCTAGTTTAATTTATAATGGACATTATTTTTATATTAAAAAATGAATATCGCTGCTAAAAGATAACTACACGCAGTTCACGATCCTATGTGCATTATATGGCAATAGGAAGGTTCGCCATTTTTTGATTTTTACTCAAATCGAGAGATTTTGTTAATAAAAACAGATAAAAAAAATTGAGCAAAAAATATTGATATCTACGTCGTCTAAAAGCATTTCAAAATCAACGATCGGCTGGAAAACGTACCTGTGCGCGAGACTAGACCGCGTGACGTCAGTAGCCAGACACACGTCGCTAGCTGGCCCGCTGCATTTACCATTCTCGCAACAACGCCCCAGTAATCGATTTGGAGTAGTTAGAGCTGGTACGATAGATTAAATTCTGTGACCTTTGACGGTGTTAGATGTCGAACAGAAAGTGGTGTTTTGTGCCAAAATGTAGAAGTACGTCAAGTACAACACCACAAAAAAAATTTGTGAGCGTTCCAAAAGCTGCCGCACAACGTAAAAAGTGGTTTGACGCAGCTCGACGGGATGCTTCTTCCACGTCGACCATGTACTGCTGCGCAGATCATTTTGACCTGGAAAAAGGTATGAAAAACTATCTACAATACAAGATGAGTACCGTTCGAGCCCGGATGAATCCTAATATTGCACCTCATAAATTTGCATGTCAACTGGGTAGACGATTAAGCTCTACGAAATGAGTGTTCAGCGACAAAAAGGCAAGGCAGAAAGACATCGCCAAATATTTGCAGCCAGCGGCGGCACGCCGGGCGGGACCCTCAACCGAAAAGTCCGAGCCTGAAGGCGTGAAAGTTATTGAGGAAGAGCATGATAAACTGCCTGAACCTTTAACAGTAGAAGTTCAGTCACAGGTATGTGACAAGGCACGCCAAACCAAACAGGTACATTTTAGAAGCAAGTCAGTTCAAATCTCGCAAAAACGGGAAGTAAGGGATGTTGCTGTATCGCCAATAAGAATTCCTGCGCTTGCTAAACAGATTTCAGAGCGCCCAAAAGAACATTTGCAAGTGGAAAGTGAACGAGCAAATCTTGAAAGTCCCGCAATAACAGAAACATCCGAATCTGATTCGTATGAAGCCGGTGGAAGTAGTACTGAAAGTAGTGACAGCGAAGCTGACCAGCTTACTGCCGAGATCGTAGTTATTCTAAGCGCAATATTAGTCAACGTTTAGAACCTGGCTTCATTGCACATCCCCCGAATGCAGCCCTAAACTTTGTTATTTTAGTAGCTATAAAATTCTATAATGTGACTGCCCCCCCCCTAATTTAAGTATTCCCCAATAAACCCTAAAAATAAGATTATCTCTACATCCCTGGAATTTCTCTCATTGAAAACATATTAGGTACCATACTTTACTTCAGAATAGTGTAATAAAGCCTCATTATCCATGCAAAAAGAACCAATTTCGGGGCTTTTAATAGGCGTAACAAGGTAAAGAGGTATGTATGATAATTTAAACGCCATAATATTTTACCTAGGAAGAAAAAATAAGAGATAAATAGCCTTCAAAATTATTGTCACGATCAGACATTATTATGTCTTAATATTATTAGCTTTCAATGAACTAAAGCAAAGCAGGATCAATTTTTGCGGAGAAATACAAAAAATACTACCGATTGGAGCTAAACAAAAAAAATAGCTTCATATAGGTGCTTACCGAACTACTTTAACACCGTTGCTCTGAGGTTCATTTAAATTTGCATTATTTGCCAAAATCTTGGGGTAAATTTCGCGAATCAGCTTTCTGATAACCTTGGGGCATTGTGCGTGCACAAATAAATAAATCACACAAACGTCGGTCCCAATTTATATAAATTCGTATTCGTATACTCTCCACTCCGTATACAAGACAATACAAGATACAAGTACCTTCCTTTTAGTTTCAGTCCAGTTATTTTTAGTGAAATCTGTCGAAAATCCTTCGAATACAATTTAAAAATTGTAGCTGGATTAGGTAGACGAGCACATGGCTAAAACGTTAAAACACTGATGTTTGAATGGTCCCAGAAGTCAAGACGATCCACGTAAAGTTAATTCTCGTGTCGAAGCGTTTGCACGCATTGATCACGTGTAAAAGTCTAATAATCGAAAAAACTGCTCGCAAGGTGTTTCACAGACTTTGAAATGCGAAAGGTTTTTGAAGAGATGGTGTCTAAAGCTTTCTCATATTCTTCGTGGATTGTGCAAAATTTCTTGGCAAAAGATGTGTTATTTCGTCACCCCACACACCTTATAGCCCTGTTGTTGCCCCCTTTTATTCCTCAAGATGGAATATCATTGCGTAGAACTATTAAGAGTGCTTAACTTATTTGCTTGTTTTTTTAATTGATAAATTCCGGGAACTTAATTGCCACTCGACTCAACTACAATGAAATATTTTCAGAGACAGTTTGTTGATGTTACCAATTTAATATGTTTTAGTTGCACTCATACAGTTTTTCTGAAACCGGATTCTTTATGAACTCGCATTTTTGATTGTTTCTCAAATACGGCATTTTCGGTGTATCTGTACTCATTGACGAACATATTTTCTCAGGGTCGGGATGAAAACGAACTTCGTCGGCACATCCACGCAAACTCCATTGACAGACATGTCATTCGTAAGCTGCTACAAAAAGTGTTCCTACCTTGTTCTTGCAAAGGACAGTGTCCCAAGCATGAGGTTGCGTTTTCCATTGAAAAATCCGTCAGAGAACTTGACATCCCAGAGGAAAATATATCTACTTTGTTGTGCTATTTAGAATTACATGATCAGAAATATATACAACTGCTGAGTCCAGCTTATACACATTGTAAGATTATTTCTTATGGAGGGCCCTTGCAGATAAGGAAGTTAGCTAAGGTAAGAATTCCTTTCCTCTGCAAAAATTTAAACAAAATGCCTGAAAGTTTTTATTCGTCTATTTGATGATGCATAATTTCAAGCAGTTTAGTCAAAAATCGAACTGATGCGGTTCTTACTTGGGGTTCTCCACTGTGTACGTATACAAATTTTTTGGCATTTCAAAGCGCGAAATAAAACTGGCATAATAACATATATAATTTTTAGGATTGTCCACCATTGGCAATGGCTTTAGCCTTACATAAAAGTAGTGCCCGTGATGATCCAAATGTTTTAGAATTCCCAGTTGTTGATGTGGCTTCAGCAATGGGCTGGGAGAGTGGTATTTGCAAGCATAAACTGAAAAATTTGGAGTGGACAACAGGTAAGATATGTCAGCAAAATATACAATTCGAATGTCATTATTGGGCTTCTTTTTGGCACTGGTGACATTATTAATTTCGGGCATAATGTAGTAGAATGTCCCATTAAGTACTCTAATAGGTATGAATCCCTATATAAAACATTTTGGGAGATACAAGCCATGACTAGGCTTGACCAGGTGCTGATATATGTTTCTTAGGTTTGTCATGAAATAGTTTTGAGCGATATGTCTATTGAAATAACAAACCACTTAGTATCTTCAGAGTGGCTTTTCTAGAAACGCCCGTGACAGATTTTTTGCGTTTTCTATACCACGTTCGAGTCTATCTGGCCGAATTTCACGTAGTATTTAAGCCGTTTGGCATTGTTAGCAATCAATTTTTCAACCTGTGAATGATAGTGTATTTATTGTGTCACCAGTATTGGGAACTTCTTGCAGTCTTAAGCTCATCCGCACTAGAAGTGCTACAAACATTGGGCACCCTAAGTGGCATTTTTTTAGAAATAATACTACTTACAAAGTTTTGAATGTATTCGAAGCAAACAATGCTATACTCTTTTTGATGAACACTCGGTCATGTGACTGGCATGACTAAATAGTGATTCTCGGTGACCAACGTGGATTATCTGTGATGGTGCAGCAATAAGGCGGACGGCATCAGGCATACCTTCATATTGTGGGGCGACTGTCTTCTAAACTATCAACTTGTCACTAAAGACCAGTATGTACAAAGTTGGAGATAATATTGTATAGATTATTTTTGATTATATACAGGGTGGCCCATCCATGTGTGGACGGAATATTACTCATAAACAAATACATTTTGGGAAAATCTATTTATGGGATGTTATACATGACATTTGAGGGCATATTTCTGAAATATTGGCTATTATACATGGTGTCCCAATTTCGACCTACATCAAAGTTGTGATTTTTCAAATGTAATGCCTCAAATTTTATTGCATATTTGGATAAACCAATTCGAAAGAAGAAAATTGATATAAGATACTATGGGGTTTTGGTAATTAGCTACTGAGATATAAGGTGTTTTGTATAGAAAAACCCCCCATTTCGGCAACCCCTCAGTCCGCCATGTTGAAATTTTGAGTGCTGAATTTTGCATCAAAAAAAGACTTACACCCCTCATCTTTTATCTTATTTGATACTTGTTCGAATTTTAAGTTTGGCTCATACAGGGTGGTCAAAAACGCGAATTGGACTTTTTCTCAAAAATTTGAAATGCATCACTCAGTATATTTGTGCAAGTTTGGATTCAATTTTCTATAAGCTTTTTTTTGGTATAAGGTTTGATTCAGATAAAATCACTAGATTTTGAGTTATTAAGCTTTTAATGGAACAACACACCAAAATTAAGGAAAAAAATCACATCATCCAAGGAAACAAAAGACAAACAGTGGGATAGTTCCTTATTGCCACTAAGAGTACAGATTTCATTTTGGAGGATGCCAACCTGCAAACTCGGATCCATATGTACTTCTAACATGATGGCGCACCTGTGCATTATCATAATCGTGTGCGTAACTATTTGGACACCTGGAGTAACAATCGTTGGATCGGTGGTGATGGGCCTACATCTTGGCCTCCTAGGTCACCAGATATGACACCGATGGACTTTTTTCTATGGGACTCCGTTAAGCAAGAGGTTTATAGATATCCACCATCTACCCCGAAAAATATGAAGGAAAGGATTAAGGATGCTTTTCTGAACATAATACACATGCTGCGGGATGTGTAACGGTCGTTTATCCAAAGACTACGGCTGTGGATTCAACATGGTGGAGATATTTTCGAGCAGTTTTTGTGCATTAGGTTTATGTTGTTGTTATAGTTGTTTTTCTCTATTAAGCTTGAAGCTGATTTATACTGTTCTGATTGTTATTAGTTTTTACGTCAAATCTGTACTTTTAGAGGCAATATGGAACTAGCCCACTGTATGTCTTTTGTTTCCATGGATGATGTGATTTTTTTCCTTAATTTTGGTGTAATGTTCTATTAAAAGCTTAATAACTCAAAATCTAGTGATTCTATCTGGTTCAAACCTTATTCCAAAAAAAAACTTGTAAAAAATTGAATCCAAACTTGCACAAATATACAGGGTGATGCATTTGAAATTTTTGTGAAACAGTACATTTCGCGTTTTTGACCACCCTGTATGAGCCAAAATGAAAATTCGAAAAAGTAACAAATAAGATAAAGTCTGAGGTGTGTAAGTTTTTTTTGATACAAACTTCAGCACTCCAGATTTCAAAATGGCGGATTGAGGGGTTGCCGAAATGGACGGTTTTTCTGGACAAAACACCTTACATCTCAGTAGCTAATTACCAAAACCCCATAGTATGTTATATCAATCTTCTTCTTTTGTATTGGTTTATCCAAATGCGGAATAAAATATGAGGTATTCCATTTAAAAAATCACAACTTTGATATGTAGGTCAAAATTGCGACACCCTGTATAATTGCCAATATTTTAGAAATGTGCCGTCAAATGGCATGTATAACATTTTCTCAAAATGTATTTGTTTTCGAGTAATATTCCGTCCACGCATGGATGGGCCACTCTGTATATATACATATTTACGGCGCGTATAGTATTGCAGGAAATCCAGGTTATCACATTTTCCATAAAAGTGTTCACCATTTTGTTTCTTCAGTAGACCTATTGTTATCCCTCTTAAAATCATTTAAGACCATCCTAAGGAACAGATATGACAAAAGTTAGTTCTTATCTCGGTAGGAGAAACACGTTAATTGTCCTAATCTTCGGATTTTTTGATACAATGCTCTATGTGCTCAATTCATAAAGCCGTCGCTTCGATACTTATTTGATGTCTTCTTTAGAATAAACAAGCATACACAGTCAAACAATAAATATAAAATATAAGAGGTGTGGGTCCAGTTATTTTAGTGCAGCAGACGCTGGCATCTCACATTTTATTCATTTTGTTTTATTTTTATTCATGTATATGTGACGTATAATAATGTTCTATATCCCCTCTGAGATATTTGTTGCAACACTGATTTGGTAAGGTCGCTCTTCTCCATTTTTATATATATTTATTGTTTCTTAATCAGTTTTTAATTTGTCTCGTGTTTTGTGTCAAGTTTCAATTACTGACTGCATTATATTCGTGATATCATTTTCTTATAGCTTTTTTATGTTAACATGATTCTGTCGTCTTTTATATTTTTTTGTTTGTTTATGTGTGCTAGTATTTTTAACATCTTTGTGTTTTGATCTGCTTTTTTAACACATAACTTCATTTGGTATTTTTGTATCTTGTCGTAGTTTATTTTTGGCATTTTGTAGCCCGGAAGAAGACCTCAAATAAATGTCGTTACATCGGCTTTATGAGTAAGGTGCATCATTGAACACATCCCAAAATCCGAAGATTAAGATAAGTACCGTGGAACGGATATCTGCACATGGTCAAGCTTTACGATGACATGTAACTTACACCTTAATGATTCAATCCTACTACTCGGTATTTTACTTATAACTAAGACCAGCAATTTTGAAAAAAGTATCATGCTTGTTTATATTCTCCACATGCATCCCTCAGCTGCTTCTACATATAATTATTCTTCAGTAAAAATTTGCAATAGGGCTGCAAACGTCAAAAAAAACCGACGCAATGTCATCTAGCAGAATAGTTAGTTTTTGGTATGCAAATAGTACATTCCACGTTTGCTCGCTATGATCGCTCTTCGCTGACGTTTAAGCAACACGTACAGCTACAGAACGAGTTTACAAATGTGCTAAGTTATCATCTTGTAGAAAAACCTACGGAATGTCAAAAGCATCCTACGAAATGGAAAAAAAAACGATAATTAGTTTTCTTACTAGTAATAATACGCAATTAAATTTCCGAGCCTGTATGTGGATGACTCATGCATAATATAAAATTTATAAGTCAAGTCACTGATAAATTGCGTCAAATCCATATCACTAAGTACTTATTGAGATGCGATTATAACGATGTCTTCGTTTTATTTGATTGTGATATTATACAGGGTGTCCGCAAAGTTGGGGTTTTCCTTTACACGACGTGTAGATCTTGAAAACATAAGCAATTTTTCTTAGTACCATATATACCAATGTCTTAAGGGAACCGAGATAAAGGGCTCTGCAACATCAAAAATATCTGAATACCGCCCTGTAGCCGCGACATCACGGAGTGGTACAATGTCACTGGCTCAACGACAGAACTGGGTCGGGGGTCGGGGTCAGTGTGTCTGGTCAGTATGCAACCTTCAACCGACGGTTACGGTCACGCGAGGTAATCGCGTAGACGAGAATCCCTCAACAAGCACTAGAGACGTGGATAGAGAAGTGCAAGTATCAAAAACTAAAGTGTGGCGAACGTCCAACGTGTACAAGCCCTTCAACCTGACGATTTTCCAGCAAGCGTGCGGTTTTGTGAGTGGTTGTTGCATCAACATGACAATAATCCGGACTTTTTGAAGTGCATATTGGTGACAGACGAATCTACGTTCACGCGTAATGGGGTGAATAACTTAGCAACACTCATGTTTGGTCAGTAGAAAATCCGCACGCTGTCTGTCGGGCACATTTTCAACAAACATTTTCGGTGAATGTTTTCGCTGGCATGGTGCGTCTGTTCGGTAGCGCATCAGCTGATTTCATTTTCTGTTGGAGCGGTATGATTTCGGGCAGAGACGTACTTAGCCCTTCTCGTCAACTGGAGAGTGAGTACTTTTTCCTTTATTTTTTTTACTTGGTCGCCCTCGTTTCACTACACATTACCTTTGTGATTTCAAGGGTAGTTGTTTCTGAAAAGGAAAACCCCAACTTTGCGGACACCCTGTATATACAAGGTGTTTTCAAAGTTGAGTCATTTATTTTAACAGCTTGTATAACTCGTCAAAGAAGATGATATAAGAAAAATCACCTATATAAAAGTTGCATAATAAGAGTTGGTTTACTTTATTAAAAATTATTTAAAAAAAAAATCATCAAGTTAAATGGATACCGCTTTCACAAAAAGTGTTCAAAATTTTCCCCATTTGCTCAATTAACGCAAAATCGTGCTCGGCGAATCCACAACTCTTTACAAGCTTCAAAAATAAAATCCTAGCGTCCACGAATTAAATCACAAGCATTTGCATTGCGCTGTTGATGTTCTTCCAGAGTATTTTCTGCTCCATTATGATACAACTCTTTCAAAATAGCCCCACAAAAAGAAATCGTAAGGCGTTAAATCCGGGGATCGAGCAGGCCAAGAAATGGGTCCATTGCGCCCTATCCATCTATTCGGAAACTCATTATTTAGATGTTCATAAACTTCTCGTCTAAAATGTGGTACTATCTAGGAACCACATATTCTGTCTGACATTTAGAGGATTACCTAATAAGTGTGGTAGTTTGTGTCGAAGAGAATCTAAATAAATTTTTCCAGTCAGTCGAGGTGGAAAAAAGCCACTGGCAAAATGCAACTTTTTTAGGATGATCTTCAGGTTATAACGCTTCCACACTTTACTATGAGAAAGTCCAATTTGAGCTGCCTAGGTTCTAGTACTCATTGTTGGGTCGTCTTCGACCATTTATAAAATGTCTTCCTCAATTTCTAACATTGTTCTTTTGAATACCCTGTAGCACGAAGTCTAATCACTAAATTTACAAACATCCGTGGGGTCGGATGATTTCTTAAAGAAAGCCTATCCGCATATAACCTGCATGCTGCGGCTGCATTTTGTTGGCACTCTCCGTATGTTAGTATTATGTCTACTAGTTCATTGTTTTCCTAAACGTGGGCCATTTTTTCTTACAAAATAATCAAACAAATGAAAGTGTACCAACTATTAAAAGCCTGATACAACTGATCGAACCAAAAATAATCTTACTTAAAACCATACAATAACACAAAAAGTTTGCCAAGTTTAGATAAACGATAAAAACTAAGATTTCACACGGCAGTGGTCGAGAATATCAAAAAAACTGTGTAATAACAATCTTATTTTTCAAAATTTTTAATCTTTTAATATTTCTTTTATTATGCACCTTTTATATAGGTGATTTTTGGTATATCAACTCCTTTTGACGAGTTCTACAAGCAGTTAAAATCAACTTTGAAACCGCCATGTATATACACCTTCAAAAACTCCCGACATTTGACACGACTCATCGATTTTCAGTTAACAACCAGCCAAAACGTTCCCCAATGAACGTTCAGCTCTCCGACTTGGGCTTCAGACTCTTGGCTCCCGGCAACCTATTGAATGACCAACTGGATGAAGCCTTGGACACTCTGCATAGACGCGTGGGTGGCCAAGAGCAAAAGGCCCTGATGCAACTGAGGGCCATCCACAAGACGCTCCGTGAGGTCGCTAAACCGACCTACAGATCGTGTTTGGAGGAGGTAGAAGGTGATAGGACGATTAAGACTAAAGTAAGGGAGTACTTTGATTCGGAGGATCCATTGAGCGTATGTGGGGAGATGGAGGCCAAGCCGTTTGATGAAGAGGTTGTGGTGAAGGATGTGCGTGCGCTGGTGAGCATGTATAGGGACAACTCCTTCACAGGTATGTATTTATTTGACTTTTGGAGCTTCTTTCACGTTAGACTGACTCACCAGCCTTTCTATTCGTACCTTAAACAAATACATCAAAAAAGACCAACAGTTTTCGATAATATGTAATCTCAATATGCCTGAAGTAATGTTGAATATCTATCTAACTGCATTCAATTCTCGTTCGCTTAATCGTAAAGAACTATTTTTGAACCAGCCATTTAATAATGAACATAATAAATGTCTACTACTCTACTCCTTAACCTCAACATGGCATTTGACTAGGTGAGGACTGTGAATATGCAAATATCTAAAAAGAATTTGACTAAAGAGGAATTTTTTCATAAAAAGCATTACGATATCATAACTCTCAAAAAAAACACAATGGAACTATACTAACAAGAAAGTTATGAAATAGCGAGATTATAGTCGTTAGCTACCGTCCTCTGCAGACTATGTTAAACAGTAGACTACAATCGTGTTGCTTATCCTCAGAATCTCCTGCTTCCCAGTTTCATGTTGATATCACAAAAATAGCTTGAACTATAGAGACAGTGGCACATCTAGGGCTTAGTGTGGAAATACATTATCCACAATTTTTGGGAAACAAATTGTTAGATTCACCCATTCTCCATTTGCCGTTCACAAACTTTGTTGTGCTTATGGTGTCAAAGAAATGACTCTCAATTTTAATCCCTAGATCAAGGATTAGATTAGAATTACAATTTCTTGACACCAATCGAGTATGGTTAATCTAACGGTAATGATTTCACAGAAACTGTAGATAACGTCCTTAGGCAGCGAAACATAAAAATCTCTACGGATTATTTTCACACAAAATGCTTGTAGGGATTAAGATTATTAAGAAATTTGTGATCCCAGGGGTGTTACCCACCTATTGGACTTAATGCCGCTCACATTTTCCATAGCATTTACTCCTGTGACTCTAGCAATACCGACTGTCCAGCAATACTCGACATCCACTTCTACCTGCGGTGGGTCCGATCGGAATACAGCCGCAAGGCCTCAGCGTATCCGAGATCGTCTACGATGAACGACGATATAACATTTACGACTAATTTAATTAGATACGGTGGCAACATTAGGGTATTAGGTACTAGGCGTGACATAATAAATACCCGAGAGTTGGTTATCAAAAAACATGTATCTACTCCTATTAACAATGCATTTTCTTCAATTACATTCATTCTGTTACATCGCCATCTGTGTAATAGTAAATATACCAAAACGTGCGAAAGTTGACTTACATAAATGATCCTGATACTCATTCTACTATACGACCCGTATGTCGGGGTTACAAATATTTTCATAACCGTCAAATAATGAAGATTCCTGAGAGTATAAAAATCGATTCAGAAATATACATGATGCATATTCAGTGGCGAAGCGTCCATGTAACCATTGTTACCATTGGTAACAGTTAAAAATCTTAATAATATATATTTTATGACTAAGTACTGTGAAATAATTTCATTTATTTATTTACCAACAGCATTATGTAATAGTAATTCAGTAAATAGCAAATTGGCCCCATGAAAATAATGCGCTCTATACTGTCTAGATTTTGGGAACGCAATGAAGCTGACTCGCCTCGAGTTGGTGGTGGGTTGTTACCATTTTCATTTATGTATACACTTGATAGTCCGTCGAGGACCTTCGGAACCGGCTCGTGTCTGATCGCGGTCGCCCGAGTGCGTGGGCCGCCGCGATTATTATGTAGGCTTGTTACCATTTTTTTGTTTTGGTTACTCTCTTCTCACTCGTTAGTAGTTGTCTGGTTGTTTTGGGTGCCGGTGGGTGCGTGCAGTTAAATATGGATGAGTGTCGTTGCGTAATCGATCAACTACTTGAAAAGTCATTCTCCTTGTATAATTTTGAAGAAAAAAAGGAGATCATTGAAAATGGAAGACCAACACCTATTTTAGATAATTTTAAAAAGGAATCAAAAAAGTAGTTCGATATTTTAAATTTAGTTGGTATAGTGAAAACTCTTGGTTATGTGGTTACAAGAAAAACAGACTGTATTGTTGGCCATGTCTTCCGTTTTCTACAGAAAAAAATGGGTGGACCATCAGCGGTGTCAACGATTTGAATAGTTTTAGGGTTCTAAAGAGGAGACATGAAATTTCTCCGTTACATGTGAGATGTGTAGCCAATTTGATTCAGTTTCGAAAGTTGTCTTAACCAAGCTTTTAGGGCAAATATTGCTAAATATAATGAAGTTGTTAGCAAAAATAGATATATCGTTAGCACACTTATAGATGCCATATGTTTTTTGGCCAAACAAGAATTACCATTTCGGGATAATTTTGAAGGGGATGACTCTGACAATAGAGGAAATTTACAGGGAATTGTTATCATTAATTGCCAAAAAAGATAAAAAAAAATTCCAACATCTAGAAACGTCAACTGTTTTTTCGGGAGACTCAAGTGACATAAAAAATGATATTATTGTCGCCATACCTACATTTATGATGGATGAAATTAAATCAGAAATTGCCGAAGCAAGTTTTGTAGGTATTATATTGGATGAAAGCACCGATATTTCAAACCAGTCGCAAATTTCGGTCGTATTTAGGTATGTTTGCTCCGACAGTTGATGTTTGTGAAAGATTTTTGAAATTTGTTAATGTTCAAGTATTACGTGAGAACTATGGGGGGTCTTTGCTTTGCTTATTTTGGATGACATGGGGGGTAGGGGAGTCTAGATGATGATTACGTTATCGGTAGTTATTTACTTTTTTACACGAATGGCAACCCTCACATTGTCTTTGCTTGAAAACGAGGGGGATTCCCGCAAATAATGCATACGTTTAGTGAACAGCGCGACGTAATTCCCCTACTCGATTTAGAATCGAGTAGGGGAATTACCGCGCGCTGTTCACTTGTCTAAATTTCCTCTATCAGTGTATTGTTTCGTTTGGATACTATAGCGAGTAGATGTATTGTAAGCATAGTAAAGCAAGTTAATATTTGTGTTACCATTGATTCCATTAGCCAAAGTTTAATGTTTAAATAAGATGTCGTTTCACATAGACAAATCCAAATTATACCAAAAATTGTTTGAAAGTTTTAAAAAATCTCATACAAGTACGAAAGTACAAATTGTACAAAAGTTAGTTAACGAAGTGTGGTGAAATTACAAATTACAATCAAAATCCGACAGGGAACTAGATATTAATGTATCTACGAGAATCGAAGAAGAATTGCAAGCGGCGACTAAGAATAAATCCAATCTACTAAATTTTTTTTCTAAGGTGAGTGACGAAATCATTTTAGGTACCTATGAGTACTAGAAATCGCCAAAAAGTTTCTCTTTACTGATTAGAAAATATTATGGCCTATTTCAAAGTATAGAGGTAATATGCATTATATTATAGATTTATTTCTTATGATTGATTCCGTCAATTGGTCACAAAGTACAGGATGTTAGTTTTATACATATATACAGAAAACTAACACCCTGTATTTTGTGACCGGAACGAATTGCTCGTTTAAACATATTAGATTTAAAGCCATAGGGTTTTGTATTTACCATATATATTTCTATACTTTGTATTTATGTAGCTTAATAAGAGAATCTTCAGCAGAAGCCATAGAAAGTTTTTATTTTTAGGCAACCTGTAAACCTGCAGAAAAAACACAAATTCTACAGTCAGCTTCAAATATTAAAAAAGAGGAAGAGGAAGAAAATACAGATAAACAGAGAGCAAAACCTTCTCAGGAAGCTATGAAAACTAAGATTGCTCTACTCGAAAAAAATCTGAATGCTTTGTATTCTGTCAGAGATACTATGCCAAGCTGTGCTGAAGTTGATAACCAGATCATTAAGTTGCGCGAGGAAATAAAAGCAGCAAAACAGTCTTTAAACAGGAAGGTTCAAAACGCAGTTGCCCAGAAGAAACACAGGGATGGTATGAAAAGAAAGTTAGAAGATATTTGTCATGAAAATCCAGAAATAAAAAAAAGACTATCTCTGAGGTATTCAGTGGGACGTCCTAATCTTGAAAGCAATCAACATTCACTATTGAAAACAATCGCGGATATAGCTGTATTTGGGAGTGCAGCAGCTGATAGAAGACGAACGGAATCAATTCGCAGCGTAAAAACTCTTGATGAACTCACACAAGAATTACGTAAAATAGGATTTGACATTAGTCGCAGTGGGACATATCTTTGTTTGATTCCCAGAAAATCTAATTCTGCAGACGGACGAAGACATGTATCGACAGTCCCTGTTAAGCTCATTCGGGTTCAAACTGATCACCACAAGATCCACTTAGGTAGCAAGTTCGCTGAAACATCAATCCATTATTTAGAGAACATAGCATCCATACTTGGACCAGATCAAGTATTTTTCATATCTCAAGATGATAAAGCTCGAGTCACTATTGGCGTAACTGCGGCAAATAAGCAAGCACCTCTTCTAATGCACATGGAATATAGAATCAAATCGCCTGATCACGATTGCGTAATCGCTGAGCGTCATAAATTAATACCATCTATTTATGCTGGTATCAAAATCACTTCTAATATGCTAGGACAACCGCAAGCCGTTGGATATTCTGGACCAACATACATCGCTATTCGAAGTGGAAATCATAGTTCATCTACTGCTAATACTCATGCTCAGGATTTCGAGACGCTTCTCGAACTTGAAGAGTTTCGACCATTAGCTAAAACTGACCATGGACTAGTAAAGCCAGTGGTAATCATGCCGGTTGATGGAGGGCCAGATGAAAATCCACGTTATCAAAAAGTCAGAGGGTTTGCTATACAACACTTTAAGTGACATGATCTCGATGCATTGTTTTTAGCTACCAATGCTCCTGGAAGAAGTGCGTATAACAGAGTAGAACGCAGAATGGCTCCTCTTAGTCGGGAACTGGCTGGTTTAATATTGCCTCATGACCATTTTGGGTCTCATTTGGATGAACGTGGCGTTACAATTGATGAACATTTAGAAAGATCTAATTTCGAATTTGCAGGAAATGTATTAGCTGAAGTATGGAGTTCAATGGAAATTGGTGGTTATAATGTTAATGCAAACTAAGTTGGGGCAGGTGAACAAGATCTTCCTGATTTTCCAGACATTAAATGGTATTCAGAACATGTGCGTGAGAGCCAATACTTGCTTCAAATTGTAAAATGTAGAAATACCGAATGCTGCCGTCCAAGAAGTGACCTATTTAGATTACTAGACAATAGGTTTCTTCCACCACCTGTAAAAGTAAAACAAACAGTTGATGACTTGGTTTTGGATGAAGGAGGGCAATTTCTTAATCTTCCAGTCAATTTAGTTCTACGCTTAAGTGCTTCACTCAAAGATTTCCTGCAAATGCCCTACGATTATTTTTGTCCGACGGTAAAATTGAGGCTATCAAGTCGAACATGCAAAACGTGTGGTCTTTATCATGCTTCCGTCAAGTCACTAAATCGTCAAATCGAAAATATCCATAAAAAAGTAAACACGCACACTGATAGGATGTTAGACCTGTAAGAGTCGCTGCTCGTCGTGCTAATGAACTGATGTGCATTATTCAAAATTTAGGTAGCACCATGATGTTGAATGGCTCGATGAGAACGACGTAGACATTCCAAAATCCGATGAAAGCGAGCAAACTCACAACAGTGAGCAGCAATCGAAGCAATCCAATGTCATCGAAAACTTAGAATCATGGATTCGGGTTTCATGGACTGAAGACTGTTAATTGGAGTTTAATATATGTACCAAAAATTTAAAATAAGTTTGTTATGTTATTAAGATATAATATTTCTGTCCTTTACTCTATGTTGAATACCGTATCAGTAAAATATAATCTGTATCCTAAATCTATTTTCTTATTATTCAAATTATAATTATAACGTTATAATTATAATATAAAAAAAAACAATACATTAATTGACAAATGTTTACGTAAACATGGGGGGAGGGGGTAAGAGCTTTGCTTACTTTTGCTGACATGGGGGGGGGGGGGGTAAATAATTGTAATAAATCTGCTTACGTAATACTTGAACGGCCTCAATGTTAGTGAAGAGCGTTCAGCGGGACCGTTATCGGAAATTTTGTTCAGTGTGTTAAATGAATTTCAGTGCGGAAATAAACTAATTGCCCAGACTTACGATGGTGCGGCAGTAATGAGCGGGCAACACAATGGCCTACAAAAACTGGTCAAAGATAAGCATCAAGATGCAATTTTTGTTCATTGTTATGACCGTAGACTCAATTTGGTTTTACAGCAATCAGTGGAACATATTAAAGAGTGTAATTTTTTTTTCAAACGTTATCGGCTTTCTCCATTTTTTCAAAATCATCCAAAAGGGCTGCTGCTTTGGATAAATTAGTACAAAAACGTTTACCCAAAGTAGCAGCAACCAGGTGGATTTATGCCGGTAGACTCGTTGAGGCTGTTTCTTGTATTCGTTCAGAGCTTCTCGAACTATTTAAAGAGATGCATACTGACACAGCAACATGGGTTGGAGAGACACGAATATGTTCGAAAGGCTTTTACATTACATTGCAAAAATTTGAGTTTAATTTCTTATTAAATTTATTTGAGATCATTCTACCAAAATCAGAAATTTTATTTGATATCTTACAGAAAAAAGTGTATGACATTGGATTTTGCACGAGAAAAGTTAATGAATTTCTAGAATTTTTGCAATTAGAGCGAAATAATTTTGAGAGTCTGTGGTCAGAACAAGAGAACTTTGTAAATGATGATGTACCCAAAACCAATAAGAGGTAACGAATTATAAATATTAATAATGATAAAGAGACGTCTTATCGAAGACTTTTTTTTTAAATATTTGACACCATGATTATTCAACTTAAAAACAGATTTTCTGATTTAAAACATCTAGAATGTCTGGCACTATATGATTTTGACAATTTCAAAAATTATGCAAAACAATTCCCAGATAGCGCCTTTCAACAACTTGTAAAGCTATATGGACAAAAATTTGACACACTAAAGTTAAAAACAGAATTGACAGTTCTTTATAATGATCCAGATTATGTTCAAAAAGAATTGCAAGAATTTTATCAATACTTGAAATCTTCAGAACTTGATAATGCATTTCCGGAAGCTTTTAAATTGGCATACCTATTTTTAACAATTAAAGCTACAAGTGCATCCGTTGAAAGAAGTTTTTCAGCAATGAAGCAGATTAAGACATGCCAAAGAAATATTTAATTACAAGATCGAATGTCGTCACTTTAATTTCCATTGAGAAACGCTTTTTAAATGGATTAATGAAGAAACCCTCTTTCTACGAATCTGTTATTAACATTTTTGCAAATAAAGGCAATCGCCGAATTGACTTAAAATATAAACAATAGTTTCCAAATATATTTTTTCTACTTGTTCAATTTTCGTTTGTGCTATGTTTGTAGTAGAATGGTATGTTTAGTTTTTCTATTTTATGTTTGTTGTTTTATATATTATATATTGTTTGGGAGTAGTTATTTGTTTATTTTAGCCAACAAAAAAGTTTAAATAAACTACCTAAAATAAGCAAACACTTTTATTTGGGAGGTTCTAAACAAACTTTTTTTATAAAATTTTTCACATGTGCTTTTGGTAACAGTTTAGGAAAAGTCACGCGTCGCCACTGTAGCATATTTAAAGAAAGTTTGTCCAGAATTGCGTGTGAAACACAGAGTCCATCTACTTGTCCCCATTTCTTTTGTTCCAGGTAGATCCGTTGCAAGGATATTCCATGGAATTCAGAGTCCGAATTATCCAGCTGTTATATGGGGCAGGTGCAGATTCTGGAGAAGTCATATTGACAAAGATTTCCATCAGATCGTTAAAATTGCGACAAGAGAAATTATCAAATTGAGATGACGTGATTTTATGATTTTAACTGATTTATTGATATTTTATTATTTGATTTTCAATATATATTATTTTATTATATGCAATTCCCATGAAGCATCCTTCTTTGAATATTTCTTAATCAAGTATCACTGCGCAAAATATGTTACATCTCCTTCCTTCCCTCAAATCTAGTTTAAAGAATTGCTTATCCCAAACAAGGATGCACATACAAGTTGCAACCATATTTCCAGAACTTACTTGCCATACCTTCAAACATTTTCTAGTTCAATTTTCCATGTAGCGCAACGGCATCATATAGGCCTAGGTTTTGTCAGAACCATTACTGCGTTATTTGGGCCTTTCATGAAAAAAATTAAAAATTTCCTCAGATTGCTGCAAGAAGAGTAGCCTCATTTCTTTGGGCTGAATAACTGATTATTAACAATGTTTGATAACAGATTATAATAGGTTTTGATACTTATACTACTATATAGTATTACCTGACAAAATAACCTTATTAAATTAAACTCCAAGCATTATAGAGTTCACCTCGTATGTGTATACCGCGTCACCGTACCTACTAGAGCTATGTGCTCTTATAAGTCCCAGGAATCCACTACCAAAGATGCAATATTTACAACCCCTGGCACGCGGCAAATGGGACCAATAGGTGCGCGATCCGTCTGTCGAAATTTTAAGAGCAAATGTATGGAAGAAATTTACGATGCATGAAATATAGAATTAACGGGGTTTATAAATGATCAGGATCCTTAGAAATGTCAAAAAACGAAATTTTTATTTTTTTCGTTTTCGGCTTTTTTCCGCCGCCACTGGACCGATTTTCAAAAACTAAAAAGTATTTTCGTCCTTGGCATAGTAGCGACTTGTGTAAAAATTTTATCGAAATCCGAGCAGAACTTTCCAAGTTGAAGATGGGCCAAGGATTAGCGGACAGACATACCGACGGCAATGAGTGGCATCGTTTTTCGTGACGTACATGCCATATAACATACCTCATTTTCGAAATATTTCGCGATTACAATACTTTTTCGCCAGTAGGCGTGGAAAATAAAATGAATGGTGGGTGCAGCGTAGTAGCATTGCTTTTTTATTTAGGAACTTTTTAGAAGTAATTCCGAAACGTTATAGATGGTGGCGTTTTGTGCAGTATTAATTAAAAGCCATATTCCTTGATAAAATGCTTTTATTTGTGAGTTGCTTCACTAAGCAGCTAAGCAAAACAAATTATGTAGGATGAACATGTTGTTGTTTTTTAGAAAAAATACGAAGAATCAGACCGATTTTGGGAATAATGTTTTTTTCATTCTTTCTATCAAACAAGACTATATCAGCCAATAGTTAAGCGAGTGTGTCGATTTGGTATCGTTCAGTTTGAAATATCATTTTTATGATTACCAGAACTTATAAGAAAATGATGAATCTGCACCAAATCTGCGTATCTATGTTTATAGTCAAAAATCTACTGGCTATGTTCGTATACCATTATTAGCATATCAGTAAAACTTAAACAACCCATTTCCCCATATGAATCTACATCTACGTGACAACTCTTCTTATATAATCTAGCCCATGTCTTCGCAACTTATCATTCATTACATCTTGCATCTTTGTGATTCTCATGCTTTCCTGTTCAGCCTTGCATTTGCCGCAGATTTCTTTGACGATCGGATGTAGAGGACTTTGGAAGTACACTCGGTTTGACTTTAGCAGCTGGTTGGTCTTGTGGGACCAATTGTGCAGGACTGTCTCCGCTATAATAAAAACACTACCATTAGATTAATGCATTATGAAACGTTATACAGGCTGCCGAGTGGGAAAGTTCACATTCCAAATTTGAATTATGCGGCAACCGTATACGCGAGGAAGTGGGGGAGAGGTCTTGATCAATAGTCACAATGGAACGTTGGACCGAAGCGCTATTGCTATCGAAGCTTACTTTAAGAGTGATAATTCATACGCATCTGCCCTTCGGAAATTTTGTACACGATACAACATTCGCCGACCAAGAGATGCCCCAAGTAAGAACCTACTGAAACAGTGGATTGAGGGGTTCCGTGAAAGACGCTCTACTGTTAGTCAATCCATTCCTGGCCCAACACCTACTGTATCAACCGAAGAAAATGTGCGTCGAGTAAGTGATTCGGTCATTGCAAATCCTCGGCGTTCTGTACGGAAGCATTCCGCTGCTTTAGGAATCCCTAGGTCAACACTGTATCGCATAATGAAGAAAAAATGGGTTTGCATCCTTATAAAATCCATGCTTTAAAGGAAATCTTGTGCTGAACGGATGTTTTTTCCTACGCAGCGCAGACTCGAGAACGTTGTTTTCAGTGAGGAGGCCTATTTTCACTTAGACGATTATGTGAACAAGCAAAATTCCAGATATTGGGCACCAGCGAACCCAAAAGAGAAATATCAACAACAGCTACATAGTCCAAAGGTGACTGATGCGCCACATCCTCTAGCGGTATTATTGGGCCGTATTTCTTTAAAGATGAAATTGGTCATGTCAATTCCGAGCGATACAACGACATGATTGACACTTTTTTGCTCCTATTGTAAGAACAGAATGTCGATTTAACACAAACACATGGTTTCAACAGGATGGGGCCACTGTTTCAGAATTTGCGCGCGCGATTCAGAAGAGTATATCCGAAGGGATTTCAAACATTTGGACGGAATGATATTTAAGATATAAAACCCGCCGAATTTACAAATATGTTGATAGCGATAACTATTTTCTTTTCATTAAGTTTGTATGTTTTTTCTTAAATCAAAAAGTAAACTCTCGTACAAGAGAGTTATTTTGTCATTCAATCCATTTTTTCCTGCCACAAGAGCAAATGGAAAATAAAGCTAAATATTTCAGTTAGAATTTGTGTGTGTCTAGTTGACAACAATTCTCACGGATAGATTGTCGTTCATTCCTTGTGTGACGGAACGAGTTTTCATGTCACGAAGGATTGCCATTATAATTATCAAATGACGGGAAAGCACTTTTTATGCTACGGATATATTGCTTTGTTAGAGGCGAACCTGAGAACCTCAAGAATTCAGGGCAAAATTATTATCAATCTGCCATGTTCTACTGGCCGCCAAATAAAAGCTCAGATATAGAAGTAACACCAATCTGCAACCATTAGTTCTGCAAAATAAAATAAGCTTAGTTTCAAGGGGGCAAGGTGAACATCTGCACGGATACTAAGAATTTCTCGTACCGCTTTTTAGTCGTCGTTGCATGTCCAGGCATTTATAACCGGCTGGCCAATAGGAGAGCGAGGATTCAAACATCGCATGTTTAACGTTTTGACGTGGCATACCTGAGATTTGAGTAGAGTTTAGTTGGAGAATAGCCCATTTTGACGGGCAGTATGTTTAGAGTAATCCAAAGTTCCGGAGCGGCAAGAATATTCAAAGGGTATGGTGAAAGTAAAATAGTATTACCAGGTCAAAATAATATTCATCCACGGGTAAGGGCAAATTCATAGAGGGCACACGCCCCTCCCTAGACGCCCAAGTCTGCCATTTTTTTTTTCAAGAGAATGGTATATATTGATGTGTTTCGGTGTAGAAATTATCTTGCTAAACCTGAATCGTGAGAGGTGCGCAGCCCCTCTCCCCATCTTCCTAAACATCGATGATATTTCCACCGCTGCGCCTACCCACATCTGCCTTTGTCCAAGAACATATCTGAGCGTGAAATTTTATGACTCTGAATAGTTATGAATAAACACTAAACCCTTACTGGTTTACTTTTATTATACCCCATCAATATTTTCAAATAAGTTGCCGTTCCAAGATTCTTGGGTGTCCTTATGTATTTACCTATAGCTACGAAGATGGCGACCACTGGATGGAACAAAATGAAGGTGGGTAGAAGAAAGATGGCGGCATGGATCAACGCAATTTCATGGCGGTCAGCTTTCCTCAAGGGTCGTTTCTGCTTGGATTTCTCTTTTTCAGGTGGGGTGTAATAGTGGCTGGGAATTTTGAATTTCTTCACAGGTATGTCTTCGTACTCGCCTGTTTCGACGTTGAACGTGGAGAAGCACCACGGTCGGGATTCTCCCGTTTCCGTGTCTAGGACGAACTCGCCTGTTTCGTTGTCCATGGCCTGGAGCAGAAAAAATTATTAATCGGACGAGTATCATCGCTAAAGTAGCACCGTCATTTTAAATTACTACCCATGGCGAGAAAATATGTGTGCAGTAGCAACTCCGCCCCTTACGAAGACTTGCTTCTGTGCCAATTGCGAAGTTTTTGGTGTAATTATTTTGGCATATATTATGAGAAAATGTTCAAAAATCCTTGCATGTCTGCATATGGGCGAATAATTGTTTTCTAGGTAAATCTGGTGCATGGACTTCGAATGTGATAATCTATTGCTGGAAATCCTGCGACGAATTTTCTACCACACATCCTGCCATGGATGTTGTGGCGTCGTGTTTGTGCAGAATTAGAATATATATACAGATTGGATCTGGCTAATGGTACAATGTCCTAGTGCCAAAAAAAGCCAATAGTGCAAACTTTCGTTCGATTTTAGTCACGGTAACCGAGAATGGAAATTTTCCTTTGCAAAACCCTACCTATAGTTATAAGAGAGCACAAACTGCCATGTATTACCAGAATCGACCACTGAGAGTAAAAACAGCAAGCAGACTGTTGGAACTGTAGGTACCAGTTCGCATTTGACAGCCTGGTGTGCACTGTGAGCGCTAGTTGTCGCCGATTCTCGTGGAATACTAGATATGGTTTACTCGCCGTTAGAACAAACTATAATACAGCTTTCGTATGGCTAACCATGGACAGCTGTTTTGTGCTTTTTGGCAACTCAACAGCATGGTTTAGGCTTGGCCTCGGATAGGATCATGAACGAAACCTGTGCAGCTATCTATCTTTTATCCAGGATATAATCTCTATCGAAATAAGAGAGAACAAGGTGCCATCTATTACCAGAATCGGCCACTGCGAGAGTAGAAACAGCAAGCTGTGTGCATCCCAGTTGGCATTTGACAGCCGGGTCACTACTGTGTTCGTTGTCCTACCTGAGAGCAATCCTAGACCATGTTGATGAGTTGCCAAAAAGCACTAAACAGATATAGTAGAAGTAGTAGTGGTGGTGAGGAGAATCCTGGCAACTAGGCCACCTTTTTGCCGACACCGTTGTACCAACTCTGTACTATTCCTCGAGCCATCTACTGGTAACTGATATAATAAACTAGCTCCAGTGATGAGACGTACCTGTTAATATTGCATCACGTGTGTGATATAAACAGCACAACATCCATTACAAGGAATTAACTTCCGAGGCGGAGACTCGAACCCGTGAGCCCCGGGTTGCTAGTTCTACGCGGTGGCCACCGAGCTACATCTTCAGTACCACTGTATATATTATCAAATATTTAATGCTGTAGTGCAAACCTACGATAACAGGAAAGGTAGTTATGTGGTGTTGGTATGCTACTATCTTTTGGCTCTGATCTTTATAACATAGTTACTGACACCCGTTTCATAACAAGTTTATAAAACTTTATATCCGCCTGAACAATTTTCCCTGTATCCCCCTAAAACCCCACGGTACCCATGGGTGTGTTTCGGCCTTAGGCCTTCGTGGTAGTTCAAGTATAAAAAACAATTATTTTACGAGTTGAATGTTACGAAATTATACTAACAAACCGAGCGTTTCCAATGTAGTTATGTGAATGTGTAGCTTTGTTTGAATTTCTATTTTAATTGGGTAAACAAAGCCAATGAAGATAGCACTAGTTTCATTACCTGAACGGTACGATTGTACCGTTCTAGGAATGTTTGGTTTACTAGGGAAAATAATCCTAAAACGTTGTATCTTTCTCCGATGTGCTTTTCTTACCAGCATATTTTAAATACCTAGAGTTTTATATTATTTTAAACTGAATGTAATAAAACTTAATTAGATATAAGTTTCATGCTCATTATATTCACGTCTTATCTAATTTTAACAAGTTCCCATTCAATATCATACAATAAATCATTTCCACTTATAAGAAGCGGATCCGAAGGCACAAACGATATCAGTTATGATTCATCCAAACTTCGTCTCCTGCTATAGCTGAAGGTTGTGTTAAAAGCCGAACATCGGGATCGTCCAAGAAATTGACCTTCGGCCAGACACTATAAAGCTAAACTCTGAGCCGCTTTCCAGTGCCTCATTTGTGTTACTGGGAGCACCCACCACCTGTCCACGTTTTTCCACTTGACAATTTTAGACAGATAACTTCCCCAAGCAGTTTTTAAAGCATCTATCTAGGAGCAATACTTTATTACGGTTTCATTTCTCGATATATAAGTGGTTTAGCAGAACAGCAATATAAAGATGTACTATATATTCAAGAGTTAGCTCACAATTTTTTCTTCAAAGCACTACAACTTTCGATGTTCAACAGATCCAAGTAATAGGTTATTTTCACCTTTATGTTTATAATATTATATGTTTGAAAATGTCGGCGAATCCTACTTACATTAGATATTTGCAGCTTGTGACACTTTTGAAGCACGTACGTTTTGATAAAATGAGATATGAGACTATAACTAAATATTTAACCTGCAATTAAAAACATGTCTGTACATCATATCACTTACCGTAGTATAAAAATAATTGAGCTGTTTTCAAGGTTAGTAAATAACAATTTGTGTATAAAATAACCACATGTAGCAATGATTTGAATAGTTGAGATGTATACCAACACGATAGTTTTCTACGATTTCAATACAAATAGCTTTAACGCATAAATGGGATTCAAAATTGTGCGTCTGGGTGTTGTTTTCGTATTGCTAAGACAAACAAATTAAAATGTCATTTGAAGCGTCGATATGTATTTTCAGTATTTGCCTTAAAGTCATTGTAGAGTCCAACACTGTTCAAATATTACGTTATGTACATTAGTGCTGTAATATAAATACCTGATCTCTTGGGAAAACCTAGGCAAGCACCATATCATTTTAATGCACAAGTTTAAGGAAAACGAGAAGGCTACAGTTAGTATCGAATAAGAATCGAGTTCACAGGTCACTGTTGTTATAATTTACATTCAATGTATAATGGATAGATAATAATTATGTTTATAAATAGCGGATTTTATCTGTAAACAATGTAAACATTTAGTTTGCTATCTATGGTTCTTCCAAATAGAGTTTTACACTTGACGATATTATGCAATTTCACTTGAAGAAAGTATGCTGCCAACTCACTAGAAAAGGTAGAGTAAGCAATGTTGAAATCAGAGATCGGATGGGCATGCACACTGACATCTTGGAAATTATAAAATACAAAAGGCTGAAATGGTATGACCATGTTGAAATAATGAATGATCAACGATGGTCAAAACGGCTGTTACAGAGGACCACTACCAGCCGCAGAATACGAGGTGGACCGTGAAGATCGTGGAGGCAAGACGTAAACTGTGCAATATAGGATAAGAGTTCCAAAAGCAGACTCTAAAAATAGCATGCGTTGGAACCTAGGATGCGGGAAACGGCGACAGCTAATATAAACTCATTGCTATATAGGGTGTTATGGAATTGAAGGATAGTCCAACATTTAGAAATAGGTCATATCATAGCAAAATGTTGTTTAATCAAATGTCTAATGGTTTAGCAATCATTTTTTTTGCCAAAACTCGGCGCTCTGCCATCTACAAATATCGTTTTTTGAGCCGGGTTTGTTTCAAAGTATTCACAATTGATGGTTTTATCGAAATCAGTGTTGTTTTCTCCTTATGTTGTAGCAAAATTTACATGAGAACTATTCTAATGCAACATTTCAGTGAAAACAAGGCACATGTGGTTACAGATTTGGAGGTGTTCGAATCGGTGTGTACGAGCCAACATAAATCAACGGTTTCCAAGGTCGGCATTGGCGTTCGATTGCGTTCGCTCCTTGATCGGTACATCAAAGGGAGGTTTGATTTGGTATGGACAGGATTTGTTGCGTTCCTAGTATTTAGTCGTTTGTCTGTATTCGATGAGAGGAGACTAGTAGCTCGACATTAGCACCGAACTTAACACGACGCGGTCCAACTCGAAACTGAATTTAGGTGCGGACGAGCGCATTCCAATACCTTCCAACAACAAACGCCAACGTCACATGTGCTTGCATTCGTTTGCTCGGTCTGTACGCGGCTTAACTTTGACCCGCTATACGGCTAGGATCACCGTGCCAAATACTCAAAAAGGTTGATTATTGCCATTCTTGCAATGATACTATTGTTCAACATTTTCTTTTTTAATAGCAATTTTAATTTATGACGCAAATAAAACATAATAGCTAAATTGTCGTCATGATAGTACTTTTTTATTATATTCAGTAGAACATATATTCAGATTGACCACCATTAGCAATTATGCGTACCCTGCATAATTATAGAGAAATCTCTTAATTTGCGCGAGTATCCTCTGTATAAAATTTCCTTGGTGGTCGATCAGATTTTACCATGCAACTGTAATATAGAAACTCTTTCTGTTGGATACACAATGCATTTTAGGCAATCCCAATAAAAAAACTCCGATGGATTCTGATCCAGTGATCTTGGTGAATACACGATATGAGATATTGGCAATAGAAGAGATGACGATGGCAGACCTCGTATGGATGTCAAGGACTTCTGTGGAGTGACGAGTCTTCGTGCAGAAAAGACGGGTACTTGAATATGCCCAATTTGCATAGTTTTGCAAGTGGAAAATACCTACGCAATACGTCAATATCGTTCCCAGACACAGTTCAGAGTGAATGTGTGGGCTGGGATACTGAATGGGAAGGTGATTGGTCCATACCAATATGAATTACTATGAACGGTAACGGGAGAAAACCTTCCTGGATTTCCTAAGAAACTGGCTGCCTAATCTGTTGGAGGATGTTCTAGTATCGATAAGGCGAGAAATATGTTACCACATGACGGTTGGCCTGTCCGAAATCACCTGTAATTTAACATTATCTAGGAAAGTGGATCGATGCCTTGGTCCTATCCGTTTGCCACTGAGATCTCCGGACCTAAATTCACTGGATTTTTTTATTGGAGTTACAGTGTGAAAGCTTATGAGCCTCTCATTAAATCCTGCAAACCAACAAGATCATTTATTAAAAGTTGCAGAGCATGCATAAGGGCCAATAATGGCCACATTGAACAGCTATATATATAGTCTAGAGAATTTAATAAAAAGTTACGTTTACAATATCTATCCTGTCCCTTATTCCATCGCATCATAAAAGCCTTTTTTATATTCATGAAACAAGACAATCCTATAATAAAAAAGCTGTAAAAGAACAATAGCCAACGAAAGAGTATCATTCTGAAAATCGCATTAAAGTTTTTGGCACGGTAATCCGATTTCATGTTGCATTAGAATAGTTTTCATGAGGATTTCGTTATAACATAAGAAAAACCAATACTGATTCTGATGAAACAATCAATTGTGAATATTTTGAAATGACAGTGACCTATTTCCAGTTGCAGGATTATTGTCCAATTCCCGGACACCCTGTATATTAAAAAAAAAATAAGGTGAAAAAGTGGTCTATCCAACCAATGAATTCAGATTTGTACTGAATGTCGAAGTACACTTGACATAAATCAGTTTTTTGACTGTCTGGCAAATTCATAGGTTTTTATTTTTTAAAAAAGAGAGTGTTTGCAAGTAATTGTGGTGTTAGACGATTTCAAGACGTTCTACTTCTTATATAATTTGCAAAAAGCACCACAAGCCTAATGAATACAATGCTTTCACGTCGGTAGGCATTGGTAGACAATTGAGTCAAAACTATATATACATATATGTATATAGATATATACTAATCCTACGCATTTTTGGCGACAAACAATGCAATGTAAACTTGGCTTGGCTCTTCCTAGTCATTTCAAATTCGTTGGATCCGGCTAGCACTGATGAAGATACCACTGAAGAAATCCCTAACCAAAGCAATCTTCAGGATTCTCAAATGACCCCTTAGAAATGGGGATCGTGAGTAGTTTTAGCCTTGGATCTCACAAATATTAGGCTTGTCATTGCTTGTTGTGTTACAATTACTAGGGTCCCGGCAGAATATCCCACCTACTATTGTAAATAATGTAAAATCATTTTGCACAGTTGTTGTTATTTCTTCCTAATGTTATTGTATTTCCTGAAGATGGATGGCATAGCTCATCGAAAGCTTGAGACTAATAAAGTATAAAGAGTCCTCATCGCTTTAATCTTGTCGAAGTACTCAACTAAAGGCTGAAGCTTTCTTCTCACCTAACTACATATATATATATATATATATATATATGTAGATTCTGATGGATCGGTCCTCCACTCATGGGCTTTTTAGAGTCGATAGGTCCTCCGCTCTGATAGGTCCTCCGTATAAGGAGGACCTATCGCAAATTCCACCTATCGGCCCCTCAGGCCCCCCTCTGTCACCTGGCAAAATTTCAGAGGGATGACCTAGATCATGTTTTTCGCCGAATTTGGGTACCGTAGTTCAGGGTTTTGCCGCGCCGATTTGGTGGACTCACGATCGCTTGGGTATTCAGCCCGTATATTATCAAATATTACCAGTCAGGTCTACAGTGGATCGGTCATCTGCCGGGTATTCAGTATCCAGATTATCGCTTTTAGATCCTCCTTAATATTGGCATCGCTGTATTAGGTATTTTATTATATTTGCTGTGTTAGAGGATCGGCTTTTCACCTTTCTATGTCTGGTGCGGCCCAGTTCGCCGTCAGGCATTATAATAGGGGCGTCCGTGACCGAGAGTACCGTAATGCAGCAATAATATATTTGTTCGATTACTATCATTATTAATATAATTATGATTACGATTATGGTTGTGATTATGATTATGATTACGATTATTATTACTAGTTTTCGGAAAAAAATGTTTTTCCAATCAGGTTTTAGACTCATAACAAGTCGATTTGACATAAGTCACCTCTATGCAAAAGTGCTTCGTTTATTTGCCAACTAGATTTTTACGCTTGATGTGTTAAAACATTTTTTTAGAAACCAGCCCCAAAAAAGGTTTTTTTTTCTCGAAAACTATGAAAGATATCTCGTTTTAATGAGAGACAAAGGATGGAATAAATAAAAAAATCGGTCATGAGGAAAGTTGGGAAAAATTCTGCTACAATTTATGTAGGTGTGGGGGTAGTTTTCACCCTTCCAAAAAGCTCTGGAGTTTTTCGTAAAAGGCAAATATTAGAACGCTGAGCAGAGCATATGTGTTCCAAATTTCATTAAAATCGACCTACCGGCTTTTGAAATATCTTGGAAAACGTGTTTTTAAAAGAAAACTTTGATGCCCCCTAACGAAGCACCTTCGAATACAGATAACTTATGTGCAATCGACTTGTTCTCAGTCTGAAAATAACTAGTAATCTCACGTCCATGGAATATTGGGTCACGATGTGTACAATACATGATTATATGAACAAAGAGCAAAGTTTAGCGTAAAGCTACTCAAGCTAAATTAAAAAGGGTAATATAGATAGACCATTATGCAAATACAACCACATGAATAGAAAATCAAGGATGGTGTAGTATTAAGGAAAAATGTTCACAAAAAAACACTCTCAAATATGATAAAGGTGATGCTCAAAT